CTTGGAGACTGCACTAAATTTCTGGAAAGCTCAAAGCTTTAAAAGGCAAACCAAAATATGTTTTTCTTAGAGTCAAGGAGAAAAGGAAGCCTCATTAAAGCAAAATAAAATTCTATTTTAGGCAATTTCAGTAAGAGAAGAGACATTTCTAAGACAGGAATCTCTCTAAAATCAAATGAAGGTACAAGGGGGTGGAAACCCACAGGAATTCCTGCAGCAATTAGCAGTTTGGGGAAGGAAAGGGCATGCAGGCTCAATTGCTTTGTTTCCACAAAGGGATCTGGTTACAGATGCAGATGAGACATGATATGCTGTTCATATGCCTTGATATTATTCTAATTTATTTGATAGGTGCAGCTTAAGTTCACTGACCTCAGAGAAAACACTACTCTGCTCCTTATGCATTCCTAAGAAATGACCACATGGCACGCTGTGTTTGTTTTGAACACAATGACTAAACGTCTCCCTCTCAAATGTAACATTTTATTTGAGATTCACTCTCTCTTCTGCTTTAATTTTTCAAAAAGATTACCTTTCACTTCATTTTCTTTTCAGATCTGAGCAGCTCTGGTTGGGCAAAGGGTTATAGCCCCCTTGACTTTGAACTCCTGTGTCCGGACGGAACACGTGCTGCAGTCACGGAATGGGCACGCTGTCACCTGGGCCCCATTCCCCCCAGCGCAGTCATGACTCGACCAGTCACTGTCACTAAAATCTCTGACTTTCTGCTGAAATCTCAGGTATGACAGGTAACAGGGAAAAGCTTGGCATGTTACCATTTGTTATGTACAACTGCTGAAAACCCTTTTAAGATGAAAAGTTTTATATATTAGTGCCTTCAGATCTAATACCAAAGAACTAAAAATATGCATAAGAGATTGAGAAAATAATTATTTGGATTCTCTTAAGGGGTATTTTGGCACCAGTTCCCATTCCACAGAGGCCATACTTTTGCTGAGAAATAAGGCACTGCAAAAGTGCATCTTTTTGTACTATTAATGACCCAAGCTGTGAAACTTTCATTCCTTTCCTGTTCAGGAATCTCTGGGAAGCAAATTGGATTCTGAATTCCAACTCTTTCAGTCGTGGAAGTATGGTGAAAGTGATCTGCTTTTCAAAGACACTGCTCAGTATCTTGTCCATGCAAGTCACCTGAGCTATCAGGAGATCCTTGGAGAGTCTTTCGTGCAGCTGGCAGAATCAGTGTTTAATTGCACACCTGCGGGTAAAGTCAAGTTCTTAATTCTGAGTTAGAGAGAAATGCAGCAGGTAGCCTTCTGTGCACAGCTCTGGCCCTTTTGTTTAAGCTGCATGGAGAAGTATCTTCTACCTAATCCTGTTTGTAACAAATTTCTAAGAAGAGACTGTTAGATTCATGTGAGACTAAGTTGGTAACTGCAGCTCAAAAGGGGAATTTGACCTCTACCCTGCTGTTTTATCTGAAATATCTGAAGAACTTATTATTTTTGAAGCTGATAGCATCTTTAAGTGTATACTTTCTTACTGGTTTGTAGGCATCTTGGACTTCTGCAAGCAAGATATCTGTGCATCCTCATCCAACTGACAGCTCATACAGAGGCTTTGCAGGGCACAGAACATCAGCATCGTTGCTGGAAACAAGGAAGAGAACGATGTCCAACCAATCCAAAGCAATCAGCCAGGAAACAGTCATCTCTAGAAATGTGTGCTGAACACCTTCTTGTCTTTTTTTTTCAGCAGATTTTATGTTTATGATGATGTAATACTACTCATGTCACCCCTTTCTTTTTTGGAGCATGGCAACATGAGGAACAGCACAACCAAGCACAGAACTAGGCTCAGCATTGTGGAAAGAGCAGGGCCAGTACCATGGACTAAGATACAGACTGGTATGAGTGGCACAGGTTAGTTGGTAGCATTTTGCCTTGTTTGTCTTATAAACAGTTTCCATGCACAAACCCCAATCAACTAACATTGTGGTAGTTGCAATTTTGTCTTCCTATATCTGTGATTTTGGTTGCAGCTAGATAGTCCCTGCTGAATGCACATATGTATTTCTTCTTTAACCAACTATTTTTACTAGTAAATCAAAACATTTTTTCTCACCAATAAATACATTAAGACATTTAATAGCCAGCAGAACTGGATGCTTGCAGCAATGGATATTCCTCTTTGTGAAAACCTCCAACCATTATTTTATATTGACACTTTGAATTGAAGATTCTCTGAAATGTCAGAATATTATCTACCAATTAACCACCACAAGTTTTACAAGCAGAAAGTGCCTGAACATGATCTGAAGCCTTTTGAACAGAAATGATCTGTTCATCATCTGTATCATGTCTTGTCCCAGTGGTGACAGAGCCAAATTCTCATATGCTGTTGCAGCCAGCAAATTGCAGCACTGAAGGAGCAGGGAAAGAGCAGGAGGCTTGTTTAGGCCTCTCAGGTGTTCCTGCCTTTCTTTGCTGGAGCTTCCCTGCCATCTGTGGGATCCGTGTGACACTGCACTCAGGAGAAGGGACTTCTGAGAACACGGTGAAGAAACGCATCTGGCAGCCTAACTTGGCTAAGAGCAGCATGCAGCTGATCAGGGATAAATTAAAAATCTGGGTTATACACAAGATTTTATGGGTTGGAAGGGCAGGGATGTTGTTTTCTGACACAGCCATTACAAGTGATTACTAGGCCTTGTTGATGATCCTGTGCTCCAGCTTTGACTCACAAACAGCAGCATGCCCCAGCCTTGAATCTCAGCTCTGAGCTGAGCAGCAACTCTGTGCTTTCTGTGCTCCCTGGCTCCTGCTACTCTGCTATCTGAAGACATGGGTGCTGCTTCAGTGCTCTGAATAGTAGCTGAGATCATGCTTAAAATCTCCCAGGCTGGGATGAAGGAACAGCAGAACTGCTGCTCTGTGCCTCAATAACAGCACACCCTGTTCCTTAACAGTGCTGATCTCTGGAGATTTGACCTCTCCTCCCTGCATGTAAGACATATTATCATGCATATTTACCCATACAAGCCTAAAGGCCTTAAAAACCTGAAAAGTTCTCAGAAAATTTTATTTCCATAAATTAAAAACACACACAAAAGAAACAGTAAAATTTTAGATTCACACAATATTGAACAGAAACAAAATGCCAAGAGCATGATGGAGGCTAATGGCACAAGTGTACAAATTCTCATTGAGCTATTTGTTAACTTGATAGCATCATATAGACTTTTAATCCACAGTTACCATCCATATTCTAGAAAAGCACCTGGAACATAATATACCAAAGGCCCACCTGAAGTAAAATACAATGAATGAGAACTGCTTGCAGGAAATCATATCCAGCAAGCACCAGAACTCAAATGTATGCAGACACAAGCCAGCCAGGCAAATGCTGTACCATACATTAAGGAGCCTTAGCTGCTCCAGTCACAGCATGATGAAAACAATGATTTTTTTAAATTTTTTTTGGAAAGTGATCTATCTCTGACAATCAGCAAATTTAGCAAAGAGCTGCCTGGCTCTGCATAACTTAGTACTAAGAGACAGGACATAGCAAAAGCTTTGCAATCCTTCTCAAGCTGTTCTAGTCATCAGTCTGTGATGTACTTTTCATGGTGTTACAAAAACATCCTCACTGGAGTGGGTTCACTTAATGAAAAGGCAAGTGTACATATCCTCCTCTAGGGATGTATGCAGGACCCCAAAAGATGAACCCTCTACACTTTTTTCTTTCAATTAGCTGTGACAGAAGCAGCTCAGAATGGCAAATGCCCAGCTTTTGCCCAGCCATCACTCCCAGTGTACAAGCAGCAGTCACAAGGAACACGGCTGTTCCCTGAGTGCTGCCAACAGGAACAGAGGTGGGAAAGGAAAATACAAAAAAGTGCACGAGCTGGACTGACACCTGTATGCTGGAGGGGGGAAGAGATGCTTGGTCTCTATTAGCTTACATTGTCATACAAACACTGAACCAAAAGAGAATAATGCTGTGTATTTGGGTTTCCACAAACTAAGGTCTGGGAGAAGCTGGACAACTGCAATATAATTTTGTAACTCCTCCAATTACTGTAAACCAAAGAGAATTTGAGTGTTTTCTTTGCTCTGCTCTCTCTGCTGTAGCTTGTAGAAAAAAAAAAAAAAAAAAAAGTTACGAAATCTTATTTCAATGCAGTCAGAAACAAGAGAGAGCAGGGAAGAAAATTAAAAAACCCCACCCTAAACAAAGCAAACAAAACCCAACATAACCCAAAGGAAAAGACTCAACACATTGCATGTTTTGAAGCACATTAGAGGTCCGAACAGTTCCTGGACCCAAGTCTGTCCCCCTCCCCCCCAATCTTTATTTCCTTGAAAGCCCCAGTAAGGTTACAGCTTACCTGTGCCACAGCACTGGAAGCCTCCCATAGTAATAGAAGGTGAATGAATGCTCTGTAACAATCCCATTCTATACCATAAATCCATAAAAATATATCTCTCACTCTTGCTACCACTTCCAACTACTCAATAATTGGGCTCATAAGTCAGCATAGGAAACTTTCAAACATTTTTTTAGGAGGCATTTGATCTTTGTTTTTTAGGGATTTCTTTTTACAAAAATAAAGAGGATCAATTAGAATGTTCTACAACAGCCCAATAGGTTCACCAGAAAAATACTATGTCAATATGTTCAAAGTTTGCCTTGTTATTTTACCCTCAAACTCCAAACACTACTACTCTAAGTGTGCACTCTCTTTTCTTCAGTCTTCCTGATTAAAGATAATTAGTTTTCAAAACAAGAATATAAACTTTTACAAACCCCAGCACATAAGCTGGGAGCAAAACAAACCCAGATTAGATTTCTTTCAAGACTCAGGCACACACAGTGTAATAATCCTCTTCCATTTCTCTACACTCAAAGCTCTGAAATTCAACAGATTGCTTGTTAACATTTAGTTTTCTGTTTGGTCAGTAACAGAAGTGGTAGAGCAACAGAAGATAGTGATAGTATTTGCAGTCCTGCATTTATTGGGACTTTATTAAAAATACCCACCCACTAGATATTTGCTCAATTTGAAGGTAAATAGAAACTCTATTATATGGGTAGGTAAATAAGAAAGTGCAAGTTCAAGTGACAAGTGAAAGAAAGAACAAACTAATTAAATTTGAGCAGCCCAGCAAGGACAGCTTTGCCTGAATAACTTCTCTAGGCACTAAGGGACAGAAATTACCTGAACTGCAGCTAGCACTGGAATTCTGCTTCAAGTTAAGTTTAACAGAAGTTATGCCAGAAGGGAGCTCTCTTCCAAAGGTAGAGCTAAGAAATTGCCCAGTGTTGCATCAGATAATTACATATGGCCTTACATAATGAAAACAATGTCCAGATACTCAGAGGCTCTTTGTACAACACTGGCTATTATGTACAAGAGTGCTGTACAGAGAATATCTAATTATGAGCTACAGGAATTGTAAATCTAAAATGGTAAAAAAAAAACCCTTCTTGTTAACATTAAAATCAAGTTAGTATGAATGGAATTAAAATAACTTTAAAACACGTATCAAAGATTTTGCTGGTGTTCCCTGCATGCAGCAGCTCAGCTCAGTTAAAAATCTCTGCCTATATATCCTGCAGCTTAACATCCTCATGGACCAATTACTTACTCCTCTGGAAAAGAGGTTGGCATCAGCCAAATAAGTAAAAAAATTCTGCAGTTTGGGAAAAAATAGCACTGGGCACCATTTTTCCTTAATACATTACCTTTTTTTAGTTGAATCATGTTAAAAGAAACATATACAAAGTGCAAGTTATTTAAAGTCTAATTATGTGGGGTTTCTGCTGCCTGGAGCCAGGAAGGGCAAAGAAACACAGAAGGAACCTTCTAAGTTAACAGAAGGAAGGAACAATTGAATAAAAACCTAGACAGCTACTTTTAATTATCAAAAGGTTAGTGGTATATCAAGAATGTGTTTCCTAGAATTTTTCTTTATCAAACACCATATCTCTTTTATCAGCTTGTTAAAAACAGCCATTACAGTAACAACAGTAGACTCAAATGTGCAAACCATCTGGAGTACAGAGTTCTAGCATCACTGAAGGTGCACTACTTCCTCCTTGACACTCCTACTCTACCCCCAAAAGATATTTAAACATAATTAATTAAATATAAGCAGTAATTTCCAGAGGTTGAGAAAGGAAGGGTAAATTTCACGTGGCTGTGTTACACTCAAATGGGGACTTAAAAGAATCCCTCCAACAGCAAGTAAAAAAAAAAAAAATAGCACCTTAAAGAGGGTCACAGCCAAAAACTGATTATCAGATGTTAGAACGGAGTGGCAGAGTAAGGTATGAAGAAGTCAGTGGATTTCTCCCAAGAAGAAAATACTAAAGAAGCTGACTGGACCATTTCCAGCTAAGCGGCTCCCTCAGATGCTGGAGGCCTGCTCCTGCTCAACCTCCTCTGCAAAAAACGCTTCAAGGTCCATTAGCTTCTGACTCAGAAGAACATCTAACTCTGCACTCTGCAGTGCAGCTCTTTTTGCTCGGGTGAAACTACCCACTGCTTTGATTTTGCCTCGTGTCTTCCTTTTCCGAGGAAGAGTAAAGTCCTGAAACTCTAGAATCCGCTTTCTCTTTTGCTGGCTGACAGAGATCAAGTGTCCATTTTTCTCCTTGGGCTCCTCAAAGATTGTTTCCAAGCTCCTGGTAAAATCAAGAACAGAACTCATGAATATTTTAGCAGCAGCCACCTTACACTGAAAGGGAGACTGGGGGATTTCATAACCCAAGTACACACAATTCTAACTTTTACATTTTTACAGCCCCTCCACACCTCTCGTAATATTATCTACAGCTCACACCTCCTACAATGCACATTAGTGCCAGCTGAGTTGTTATTGCTGCACAGGTATTTGGGTAGAATCTCTTTGTATTTCTGTTCAAAAGCACAATTATAAAATCTTGATTTTGCAGAATAAATAGGTTTGAACATTTGATGACAGGCAGTTACTGTTAGCACTATAAAGAACATGTAATTCCCTTTGAATTTTGAAAAGTACGTACTGTACTTTGATGGAAACTAGAATGAATGGATAGATGAAAAAACCTACAAATCCATACTTAACCAGCTGCAAATTCTTAGTTCATATTCTATTTCACTTTTCCCATCCAAACAGTAAAAGATATTATTTTCAAATTAACTTTCTCTAGCAGTTTAAACTAGACCAATGTTAAGAATTTATCTCCCTCTTACCTTTCATACACCTTTCACCTCCTCTCTCCCCCCACCAATTAATTTACATTGATCTTAAGTTTTCTTATAAGGAAGAAGAACCAACCTGGCAGGAGGAGGGGACTTATAGTTCTTGTTTGTGTAAATTTCTTCTAAACTAAATTCTTTCTTCTTAAGCCTGAAAAAGTAATGACAAATCAATCTAGAAGGAAGAATCTCAAAACAACCTCTCTTCACAGCAAGCAGATTTGCATTCTATGCCTAAATGCTAACTAATTATGCTTTAACTAATTGGGGACAAGGAGGAATGAAAAATTAGCTCATTAAGTACATAATTTCACACTGTTTTTATAAGGCTGGTGTCAAGACTTGCCCTTTCTGCAGAGATCAGTATTCCAGCATTCTGTGATGCTTTGAAACAATGACACTCAAAAGGGGAAAGCCCCTTCATTTTTTTTGGGAAAGCTGAGAGAAAGTCTTAGAGTTTAACAGATTAATACTTCATCTCTTGAGACTGATTTTAGTCATTGACAAATACCAAGCTAATCTTTGAAGAAATGCATTCCTTTGTCAAAGGTGGTACCTGAGTTTAGAACAGAAGCCATACTAGATGAGGTGTGACTAATCTGACCAGTGTGACTAGCAGTCACACTAGATTGGAAAACTTTATCAACATCTGGCACTGTGATTCCCCACACTTTCACTGAACTAATGCTTCCCTAAGATCATACCCCAAACAAAGAAAGAACTGTGAAAAACTCCAACACAATTTGCATCAACAGAACTTCTTAATAGATCACTTCATCTCACTGTGCACTGCAAGTTAACTGATTTTCACTTTATAATTATCAATAAAAACTTTTCTTCTTTAGAAAGATGACTGCATTGCAGCTTGCTTTTTCACATTTTGCCTAAACTCCAGTCAGTAGTTTTGATCCAGTTGATAGAGCTGTGTCAATCATCTCTTGTAAAGAAGTAAACATCAGATATCACTCAGCTGGGGCTGTATAAAATAGTGGTGGTAAGAGAAGCATTTATTGAAATTATTACACTCATGTTTTGAGTCCATTTCAGAGGTACTGCTCACCTTTTTGGTTTGGGTAGTCCCATTGGAGTAAGGTTAGGGTCTGGCTTAGGAACAGTTTTCCTGATTCGGATCTGTGAGACTTTCTTTGGCCTCTTTTCTGCCTCAGTCTTAAGAAAGAAAGGAGGAAAAGTTAAAATCAAGGAAATTAAAGCCACACGAGTCAACAGAATTCCCTTTTATTCTGAATATACATTATCTATAGAATAAATATTCCTCCCTGGTTTGCCACCTTCCTTCTCTGCTTGAATGAAAGCAAGCAGCAGCACAGAGTAGGACCTGCAGCCTGTTTTCTCATCTTTTACACTTACTTGATAATATCCAACAGCAGCAGCTTCAGGACAAGCAAGACTCTGAGAGTCTAAAATATAAAATGAACTCACTTTTTTCAGTTCTGTGTCATCTTGGGATCTCAGACAGGCTGGAACAGAAGCATCTGCTTCATCAAGGGCAGGGATCTGGAGCTCAGATGCTGAAAGCCTGGGAGGAGATGGCAATGTCTCTGGAACTGCACAAGGCTTTGGTAACAGAACAGGGAATGAAGCTTCCAGACTGTAACAGAGGAAGAAAGGAACATGTGTAGATTGATATCCAACTGATAATGCAACAGCATTCCAAGCTCTCAGGAGATGGCCCTAAACTGCAATACGGGCACAAAAAGCCAACACAGTTCACAGATATTGCCCAAGTAAGTGAACTCTGGTACACACATACAGTCCAACCCTCCTGCATCCCACATTGATACTGACACTAAACTGCCAGAGTATTTGAACATGTCATTTTAAACCCACTCTTTTCCTTTTCATACAGCTCTATTTATCAACTACTGATAGAAAGGGATCAATCCTCCTTTCCTGTCAGCAAATTTATTTGGCACAACTATTAATCATATTTTTTGTTTACAGATAAAATACAGCTTTGATACCTGCCATCCCTACACTTAGAAGGGACAGGAGGAAATTTCAGCACCTATCATCCAGTTGCTCAGGCAGAAAGGACTTAAATCCAAGTAAGGAGTCAAATTCCTATCCAAGTAAGGAATCAAACTTCTATAGTTTCACATATTCATTTCCTAAGAAGTGACACAACATGGTTGAAAGTAACAGAACTGTTCTGTGTAATAATCTATGTGGTGTTTACATAACTGCCCCTCACTCTTCTCCATTACATCACCCAGTCAGCTTATTCACTCATTTCTTAATCAGAAAGCTGTTCTGGAGTGAACTACCAAAAGCTGAAAGCCAAAATGACATAAGCAATGGCTTTCTGAGGAAGGTTATGATCCCACTACTCAGAATAAATACCAACATCCCAGAGACTCACCGTATGGCATGGCCTGAGGTCTGCAGTGCTCCCATACTCTGCACAGGTAAGTGTGGTAACATGGCACAGCTGGGTCAAAAGAGGAATGAAAAAACAAAACAAAACAAGACAGACACAAATTAGGTCTACACTATAAAAAAAAATGAGGGAAAAAATTATTAGTATAAACTGGACTGTAAGACAAGGTGCTTATATCAGGAATGAGAATGAAAGACTAAAATGATACAAAAGAAAGCCACATCTGCTGTTTAGGCCACCAGATTTCATTGTTAGGGAAACTGTCCTGCTTTCATTTAAAGATGGTAGTAATGAGGAAAGGAAATAAAGGCACAGAAAGAGAGTGAGACAGTAATACTTAAAGTCATAATTATTTCTATGTAATTATTAAAGTCTGAAAATTGTAATTCTTTCTATGAAAGTCTATATTCCTTATTCAAAACCCCAAGTTTTCACAACTAAAGTAACCAAAAACCGTGAAGGATTTGGTTAACTAAAGAAAATAGTGCATAATGGCAACAGTAACAGTTGAAAGGAAGTTTTTCCATTAAATTAAATCCCTGTTGTCTCTAACTTCCACAGCCTGCAATAACCTCACTTCATTGGAATAACCAAATGCCTTTCCATAAGGGTTGGTAATTACCAGAATTCTGTGGCATAAAAGTCAGCACAGCAGCTCTAAGTCTTTTGATATTAAGCTTTACTTTTGTGCCCCATACTGTTTTCAGCAGGAAATCACTTGGGACAGCTTTTATTCCATTCAACAGCAAATCTTGTACTTGCTGTTCTCTCAAACCAACAGTGAAATGCATTCCACTGTTCTAAAGCAAAGATGTTACAGCCAGACTGGAATTCTACAGAGGAAATGAAAACCAGCCATGCTGGAAGCACAGGGAAGTCCAACTGTACATAAAGAGGTCAGAAAGACCCACTTACTGTGTTTATCACTTATGTCAGAACTGCAACATTTTGTTTCAACATTCCACTCATTATTCCAGTGTTACTGGAACCTGTATCAATACTGCAACAGAGCCCTCCGTTAGAGACAGAGCTTCTTGTTTTATGCAAAAATAATACAAAATTACAAGGAGAGAAGGAAATCACTTTAGAAATTTTTAATTCAAATAAGCATTAAATAGAAAAAAAACTTCACTGAAATAAATACTTTTATTATTGACAGTGGAAAGGACAGTGGAAATTAGGTAGGGCAACTACTTTGGTTCTTTGTTCTCCTAGTTATTGAGAACATTAACTGTGAGTGAAATATTTTAAAGTGAACAAATCTTTTCCAGATAAAATGGCCTGCAGGGAACTTTTTGATTTTTCTGATTTTTAATTATCTTAAAACAGGCAAAGATTTCTGTCATAGTGGGAGCTGAAAATGCTTTTATACTGCACCAAACATACCTCTTATATTTACATACCAAACATCTGTGTGGGACAGATTTATGGCTGCCTCACAGTCATAGTTGTTAGGTATTTTAGAGAAAAAAACAAACTGCATTTTAGGATATTTTAACTCTGCATTATTTTTCACTTGAAGTGAAAAGGTTTGATTTGAATACTCTCCCTTTGGGAAAAAGACCACTCATAGCAAAGCCTGCAGTTATTCAATTACTCTTTCCATCAGGAAGGAAATCCTCTTTCAGCTAACTGGATATGCTGTGCCGAGCTGCTGGGGAGCTGCACACTTAGGGGTGTGGGAAAACCCCCAAGTTCTCATCTCCCAGTGCAAGGATAGCATGCTTCAGCAACACAAAACACTAAATTCACCTCATACACACAACTAAGTTTTAAAAAGATGTTTGTTTTGTTCTTAATGTGTTATTTTTAAATTTAGTGCTCAAACTGTACTTTACTGGTATGATCACTTTCAGAGTATGGAATGAAAATGGAAGCAAGTCCCATAGAACGTGCTGCAAGTTATCTCTATGCCACTATCCAACTTAATTATTTTAGTGCAGACAACTCCAGAATGGAGCAGTGCTTTCATAAGCTCACTCACACCTTTGGCTGACATTAGAATTGATACTAACAAGTGATAAACTTTTAGGTATGTTACCCATTTATACAAAGCAAAGTGCAGCACTGGTTATCTGGCAAGATTTTTGGTTACACTTGTGTCAATCTGTGACATAGGTTAAATTCAACAGCTCTCTACAGAGTGCCACACTAATCAAAACAATTAATTAAACAGACTTTGCTACAGTGCTCGTGAGCTCTCTGTCCAGGAATTGCAAGGCGATGAAATCAGGGACTGAACTGCCCCATGTTACTGAGGGATAAAGGGCAAAATCTTTGCTCAAGAGCATGCAAATATCCTGTAACAGAGCTAGGAAGTCCTTTCATTCTTTTTATTAGAAAAATTATTTTAAATGCTCATAGCACAGTAAAATTAAATATGCAAAGTCGATTTCGGTCCTCTTCGCACTCATAACAAGATTGACACACAGAGAAAAATTCATTACCAACGTTAACTGGAGCTACATTTGCTTTTGCCAACATCACATATGAAAAGCCATAGCATGCATAAAGAGGTTTCAATTAGCATAGAATGATCATGGAATACAATTTAAAATGTTACTGAATGACACCCCCCGCCCTTTAATTCCTCCTAACCTGATATTGAGCATTTTACAGTAGTTCTAAGGGGTATTTGTGGCTCAGACCTCTGAAAAAAACTCTCCTACCTCAGAAATCCAGTTCCTCTGCAGTCACTCTGAATAGACCTAATGAAGTAGCTCACCTTTTGCATTATATACTCTGATGCATGGTGTGTATATTTTGCAAGGGAGAAGAAAATAGAGTTAGCCATTCTGCCAAAACAGGATAGTATTAAAGAAGTGAAGGCAAATATATTTAAATTCAGCTAACAGGGTACTTCTTATTGTTCTGTAAGAAAGGATCTTCCACGTTAAGCCATTCTTGGAGCAGAATGTGAAGATCTGGAACAGGAGAAACTGACCCTCTAGTGCAAGCTGCAATCACCCTCTCCCTCCCAAAAAGGAACAAGTATATACCCTGCACACATTTCATCTCAGAAATAAGTTGATGGGTTTTACCTGTTCTCGAAGCCCACACTTGGCTGCCACTTGCAGTGATTGGAATGGAGAGGAGTGGTTTCAGAAGGACGGGCAGTAGGACCATGCTGGCTCCATATGGACAATACCCTGCCCAAGGAGTATGGCAATGAGGAGACGAGGTCACCGGATACACACCTTGGGTACCTGGCCCCTTTCAAACCCTGTGCCAACTGTGATATAAAGAGTCTCTGGATGGTAGGAATATGACTGGTTAAGTTTCTTCTTCTTGTCCAAATCCTGTAACATCCAGAGGAAGAAAGTGCTAACACTGTGTGAAGGCCAAGCATGGAACAGCCTCCTCTTCTTCCAGCTACAGCGTTTCTTCCAGGGTCAGGATGAACAGCAACAGTCCTGGGGGTTGATGTGGAGTGAGAGGAATGAAGCTCATTATTTACACTGGAATCTTCCTTGAAAGCTGTTGTATCTGAACAGCTCTGAGACAGGAGAAAAGAAAAAGTCCACTTTGAAGCTGGTGCTGGCGTTTCTCTGAAAGCTGGGCTGTGATGTGCAGAGTGCTGGGATGTAATCCCTCTGAGGTCTGTCACAGGACTGGAGTCCAATTTTACTTGAAGAGAAATTGGGAAAACTGAGGTGTCCAAGAAAGAGGTTGGAGGCTTGTGGCTTAAGTCTGAAGAAGGTATTTTGGTAGTTTCTGCAGGATAAAGTGCCAAAGGCTGAAAGCTGAACATCTTGGTGCACCAGCTGCCAGCCCAGCGTGAGTGTACGTTCCTGTTAATGCAAGAAAAGGCTTCCAAGAGATTTTTAGATCTACATTGGCTGTACCTGTCACCCACCGGAAGAATTTCAGAAAAATATGGCAGAGGTTCTAAGTTATGGCTGCTTTTGGCAGGGGCCAGGAGCTTACTGGCCACTGCAGACAACTTGCTCAACAATGCTGGTTCTTTGGTACATTTTCTAGATTTCAAGCTGTTCAACAAACTGCACCTCTTGGCCCTCTGCCTTGGCATATGCACAAATCTCAGGGCTGTTTCCTTTTCCACTGTCGGTGGCTTACATGGCAAGTACAAAGACTCCAGAAGCGTGTTTTCCTGTTTAGGGAATATTTCCAGGGGAATCTCAGAGAAAGGTGAACTTCTAATTTTTCTGATTTTTCTTACGGTTTTTCGCTGATACAACGTGGGAACTTTTTTGCATGTCCTTTCAGGTTGTATTTTTAATGGAAGAGGTCCTCTTAGTTTCTTTGTAGTTCCTCTTCGTTTATTTGTAGTTTCAAAGGCACCAGGGATCCCATCATACCCTAAATTAAGGTTCAGGTTTTCCATTTCTGAATCCTGAGTCTTCAAACACTGCGAACTAATAAAATCTGTGGTAATCTTTGGCCTTTTAACTTCTTGTAAAGTGCTACATAGTTTACTTTCACTGGCTCTTACAGCACAAATCTCCTCTGAAGTGCCTCCAAACTTTGTATTTGTAGATGTCATCAACTCAGCTGAGGAGCTGCATAGGAGTTCAGAACTGTGCAACACACTTGGTTGCAATATGATTTTTGCTTTCTCCTGATGTTCTAACTTCCATTCTTGTTGTGCCGTGCCCAACTGATGTGCTTCCATCTTTCCATACTTCCTTTGTTTAAATACTTGACATTCCTGTATTTGATCAAGTCTCTCTGAACCTAAAGCCCCATTTTCCTTGCAAACTACATGAGTTAGTATTTTGTCCTGGCCTTCTGTTACCTCCTTTACATTATCTTTGTTTCGTGCATTTAACTTGTAAGGCACACACGTTTCACTGCAAACCACACAGCTTGGGGATGGTTCTTTGCAAATGTCTGATAGTGGGCTCAGAGGTGGAGAAAATGTGGGCGTTGTATCATCCTGCACTTCTGGGGCAGCCCCTGTGTCAGATACAGCTCCAGCCTGACAATCATGCAGAGTTTCTGAAAGTACACTGCTACCTGCTAAGTTTGGGAGCTTTGTGTCATTTCGTCTTTCTTTTTCTTTTGAAAGATTATTTAGTTTAGATCTTGGGATTTCATCAAAAACCTTTCCATAATTCTCAGTCCTGAGGGGGACTATTTTGCTACCAGACTCTCGAGAATCTTCCAACAAGGCCCATGAACAATCTTTGGGCAACCTTCCTCTGGGGGCTTCCTCTTTTCCTATCTTCTCTTCTACACAGGTATTAAATATCTCTTCACCAGGAGGAATTTTTGGTGAGCTCATGTCCACATCTTTCGTGGCTGGTGTGCAAAGCCCCTCACCTCTCAGACTTTCTTCGCTGTGGGCACAAACTCTTGAGCTTTTGGCACCATACAGAGAACCAGCTGCTGATTCATTCCCTGAAGATGGAACCTCAATATTGCTGGATTTTTTCTTAACGGAAATCATTACAGAAAGAATTTTTGTCATTGAAGTATCTTTGCTAATTTTTCTGTCTGAAGATGAAATATCTCTTTGTGTACTCTCAGGTGACATCCACAGCTTTTCTTTCTCGGGCAGAGAGATGTGAGAGTTCAGAGCTGACACAGTTTCTGAATCTGCCTGAGTCTCAACACAAGATTCTTGGATGTCAAACTTTTCAGAATGAGATGCACAAATACCCCTTTCATCATCAGTTTCTTTACCAGGCTCAAAAGTTAACTGTGGGTGAGAGTTATTTAAGATAGGAGTTAGACTTCCTCTGTTTTCTCTATCTGAAAGTACATTTATATTTTCTGGCTTATCTGTATTCTTACATTTCTCTTCACCAGGAGAACTTTTTGGTGAGCTCATGTCCACGTCTTTCATGGTTGGTGTGCAAATCCCCTCGCCTCTCAGCCTTTCTTTGCTGTGGGCACAAACTCTTGAGCTTTTGGCACCATACAGAGAACCAGCTGCTGATTCATTCCCTGAAGATGGAACCTCAATATTGCTGGATTTTTTCTTAACGGAAATCGTTACAGAAAGAATTTTTGTCATGGAAGTATCTTGGCTAAAAACTTCAGCTGAAGATGAATCACAATTATCTCTTTGTGTACTCTCAGGTGACATCCACAGCTTTTCTTTCTCAGGTAGAGAGATGTGAGAGTTCAGAGCTGACACAGTTTCTGAATCTGCCTGAGCCTCAACACAAGATTCTTGGGTGTCAAACTTTTCAAAATGAGACGGACCAACGCCCCTTTGAGAATCAGTTTCTTTACCAGGCTCAAAAGTTAACTGTGGGTGAGAGTTATTTAAGATAGGATTTATACTCAGACTTTCTCTGTTTTCTGTATCTGAAAGCACATTCTTATTTTCTGGCTTGTGTGAAAGACTCCCATGAATTGATGAAATGGGCAGAAATTGAGCACTAATTTTGTTTTCCTGGTTCTCCACCAACCACTTCATCTTTGGCCAAGATTGCTGCGTTTTGGTTCCCGCAAACACCAGCTTTTCTTTCTCTTTTGCACATTTGATAAAACAAGCCTGCTGTGAACAATGTGGTTTGTCATCAGAAAAGTTTTCTTTAAGAGTTCCTTTATTGGTTCTTTTACATCTATTCTCACGTTGTTGTAGTCTGATTGTCTTCTCTTCAATTAGGTCACTGATGGAGTCCACGTATCCTGAAGAATCTTCATTTTTCACACCAATTAAAGAGTCCAAACCCATTATATTCTCTTGCAGAGCTCCTTCAAACCTGGCTTCTCTTGCAAATTTATGGTCTGACAGAGGCAGGTCACCACCTGTTTTTAGCAGAACCTCTTCACTGTGATTAGGATCAGTTTCATCTGTTCCCACAGAACCACCCATGGTTTGTAAGCCAGTGTTTGGTTGGTTGGTTAAACTTTCTGAATGTTGCTCACTGGCCAGCACTGGGACATCACACTCTCTCTGGCAGGGATGAAACTGATTTCCCTTTGGACAAAGGGTCTCCTCTGTTTGGCCAGCGTGTTGTGTTGGACTGTTCACATTGGCAAGTGCTGGGTGTGGGTCCCAGGTTGAAGTGCTACACTCAGAGGGACCAGCTGTGAGCAATGGCATTTCTTCCTGCTCACATGTGCCGAGTTCTCTCTTCCATGGGCCTAACAGAGAGTTGTAAAATCCAAAATTATGAGCACAGGTGTTTTTGTTCAAATATCTGACTAATGGCTGTTCACTAGTCTTATTTCTCTGCTTGCCTTCAGGAGCATTTGGGGAATCCACAGCTCTTGTTTTATCAAATTCATCTGTCTGGGAAGCACGCATGCCAGTCTGTTCTTTTGCTTCATGTCTGTCACAAACAATTTCACTGCCCATCACTTTACAAAGATCAAATTGTTCCACAACCTCCCTATCCTTATTTGAAATCTCATCTTTTGCCAAGGTAGCAGTTGACTTCTCTGCAGTATATGCAGAGCAATACATGGTTTTTCCTGTAGGAATGTCATTTATTCCACGCAGAGCTATACCTCTGTTGTCCCAGTCATTTTCACAAAGAGGAGATCCCCATGCCAAAGGGGCATGTGCTTCTGGAAAGATGATTGCCTCTTTACTGTTATATCCTGATAAAGACTCTCCTTTCAAATTATCATTTTCTTCAATCTTACCAACTTCAACACCAAAAGAATGACTGTTCAGGAAAACTTCATCCACACATGTACTCCCTGATAAAACACAGGAAGTACTGGCAGCTGTACCCTGTTTCTTTATACTCTGATTATTACAAATCCTTCTGTGACAATGTTCATTTTCTAAACCAGTGACCACTCTCCCCGTATTTCCTGCAGAAGGTTTTATGTTCATTTGGGATACTCTGCTTGTTGTTTTAGGGTTATCAAAAGTCATGGAATTTACAGAAGACTTGAATTTGTCTTTATGAAGCAAAACTTCAGCAACTTGTTCTGCTGTTGCTCCAGAAGCACCAATTAATTTTTTTCTAGACAGACTATCCCAAGCCTTATCCCTGCATGAAACTTCATTAGCAGTACAAGGAAGACACTCATCATAATGAGGTTCTCTTGATTTTTGTAAAACAGGAGGTAGAGTTACATTTAGTGTTTTGTTCCCAGTGGATAAGCTGTTGCTACTAGCAGCTCCTGCAGCTCCAGCTAAACCATCAGCCAACTCTTCTGACCTTGTATTGCTCTCAGATTCCTTTTCAAACAGTTGTGCCTTGAGTGAGTCCTTTTCTAGCTTGGTTCTAAGATCAAGACAATTGTGGTTACTGAGAGGAATTTTACTGGCAGTACTATAAAAGCGTATGTCTGTCTGCCCAGTTTCATGGGAAGCAATGTTACTTGTTTCCACCCACAAACGATTTTCTTTTATATCCTTCTTGCATGGGTGACTGACAGAGAATTGCCACCAGTCCTTTTTCAACTTATCACCTTCTGATGGGAATATTTTAAATTTTTCTTTTGAGACCTCCTCAGAAGATGAAGCAACAGAACTAAAAGCTGGAGAATGACAATGCTCAGAATTAGCAGCCTCTTGAGCTTCATGCCAGCTACAAATTTCAATGTTATCCCCCACAGCAATTCTTCTACAGACTTCAGCAGCCTCTTCAGATTCAGAGCTGTATGATTTTCCAAGAGTAGCACTTAATTCCCTAGGATCAGTTTTTGCACTAGATAATCCTTTGTTCCTTACCACTGAGATCTGCTCTACTGGTAGAGATGTGGAGGTTTGGTTTTCTAAAAACCCAGTTCCACGATCGTAAAGAGTGTGATGTTTGATGTTCTGGGGAAGGTACTTCGGGGGAGTTTTGTTGCTAATTCCATGAACTGCAGAACTGCTTTCTAGTGGCATATTTCCAAAGTCCAGATAACAGATGCTTTTCAGAACTGGACATAAAACTTCAGAACTTTGTGTGGAGAGTGTTCTGCAGCTTTCTGCTGAGAACAACTCATGAGGTTCATTTTGTTCGGGTACAGGACCCTTAAAGAAGTTATTTTCTTCATCCTGCTGACAAGTCTGGCAATTAGCAAATGACGTGCTGAATTCATTAAGAGGATTTCGTCTGGGTAACTTTTCTTCTCTAATCTCCAAACCAGATACACCACTCCCCCCTGCTCTCAATGGCATGGCAGCATGGGCTTTTAACCCACTATAGTCACTTGTTTCTCGTGGATGATCTGCAGCTGCTCCAATGTCCATGACTTTAAAAGGCTCTAAAAAACCTAAGATGTTGGTTTCTGAAACCCCAGCTCTGGCCATGACTGTGTCTACATCTGGGTATTGAGTGCTCTCAGGTGGAAGACCTTTACTCACTCTGGCATTCCTGTATCCTGCTTTACTAAATATCCTAGTCTTATCAGCCTTCATACCTTGTACTTCTTCAGTGAGCTTTGGCAGAGTTTCAGTTGTCACCTGAACATTTGCTTGGTTTTCTTCTGCATAAGAAAAAAATAAAGCAAATCAGAACCATATCCTAAATTTAGAAGGCATTCAGCTTATTAAGTACTTTTTGTTGGTGTACACAACACTCCATGCAGTGTTGGTTATCAAAATGTTCTCAGAAGTGAGAATTGATGCCAGCAATTTTACTACAAGTCTTTTGAGGAAAAAACAAACAACTCCACCACAAAGCTAAGGCAATAAAAACAATCCTTTTCAATACACATTCCCATGAGCAGCAGGCATTCCAAGTCCTGTGTATTTCAGATTCCTCTAATGTCAATCGAGGTCCTGTAACTTAACACATAGGAAGGCACGGCCAACATTAAAATAATGCTTATTTGTAACATCAAAATTCAACATAGGCTGGGATTTGATCTGCTCCAGCCTAGAAACATGGCTGTGCATTGTGGGGCCATTTCCAGTTCTTCTTCCTTGAAGACATGTCTGTCAGTAACTCATCCATAGGAAAACAAGACATATCTCATCTGCCCAAGCAATTCGGATTATTCATAAACTTTTTCTGTAAAATCACAAAGAAGGTGCTAATTTTAAAAATTACAGTTACTGTAGAATATCTTCATACTCAAAACTTTACAGGGAACATATTTACTCAGATTTCTGCAGATCTATTCCCTTTTTTCTAGTAAGCACCAAGACTAGATGGCATTTGTCAGCTAAACACAAGTTTAGGTAATAATAGCAAGGAGGGAAAAAGAAAATAATTACTAAATGCAGGCAAAGTGACCAAAGTACTGTGAGCTAGAAGATTATGGAGGGTCATAATGAAATTAATAATTACTTTAGCTGTCCTCTTTCTTTGGATTCTGCACTTTTAATTTTATTTTTAGAACACTCAAAAATGAATGAGTAATACTTTTTGATATATATATGCTATTACTGCTCTCGTACACTCCATCTCTGAAACAAAAGGAAATGCAAAACATCTGCTATAACAACTTCTGCTTCGGAAACAAATAACTAAAACACATCTTCTACAGAAAAGGTCTTGAGGCCAGTACATAGCCTGCCAGGAGAAAGTAAAGCATTCAGTTTTGACATTGTTATAGTTACACAGGGTAGTACTTTCTACCATAAAACAATATAAAAAAGCCATCCCACAATCACTCATCCATTTTAAATCAACAGTAAATAACTGGGAGAGAAGCAGGGGCTGGACAGACATGTACAGCTAAAATAACTACCTGTGTTCCTCAGAGATCCAGCAATTTCAGTGCAACAGGTTCTCAAAGACTTTGCCCCTTGCTTGTTTAAGTGAGGGTCTTCCTGAAACAAGACAGAAACAGCAGTGGAAATGGTTACATTTTCTGAGGTGTGTCATGTTTCAGGGACTGCATCTGCTCACCTGGGTTAGTTCAGAACAAGAAATTCACTAAGAAACCTCCTATCAGCCATATCAGCCATATCAGACATATCAGCCTTGGCCAGAGGCAGCCTTACACTGCAAGGGCTTCACAAGCACTGAGGCTGTATCCCCAAAACACCCATATTTGTATTTTGTAGCAATGAAGTCCCCTGATGTGGCAGCTAAAATATAAGTACGTGGCTTAAAATGCAAACTGTTGAAAATTGGATGAGAAGAGTAATCCAGTCTCCAAGTCTAGTTCACACCCCCAAACCACGACCACCAGACCTCTGGGAGGATATGGGCATTTTCTGTCTCTATTGGAACTTGCCTTCTACTATTCCTTGGGCTCAAAACCACAAACCCAGAACAGATAACCTGGGTCTGCCAGCAAAACCACCAAACCATGATCCCACAACCAAACTACCTGAATTTAGAAATGTGTGAAAATACATCTTGGAAAACTGAATGACTATAAAGAATTTACTAATTTTAATTTCACGAAAGTGATAAATGAATTTTTAAAAAAATTTCAGATAACTTAAAGATATCAAAATTTGGAATTAAACACACAAATTATTTTAGTATTATGCAACGCCCAATAATTAAGGTAAAACACTCAGCTGTGCATCTTTTTCAGTTACATATCTGCCTTATACCATTCCAGTAGTATTTAAGCAAGTGGAAACATCGATATTTTAAAATACTGCTGGTCTACTGAACTATAGTCTAATTTTTCACTGGACCCACAGTAATCCACACATGCACACCCTGGATGTGGCTCTGAGCAACCTGGTCTAGTGGAAGGTGTCCCATGGCAGGGGGGTGGAACAAGATGACCTTCAAGGTCCTCTTCCCACCCAAACCATTCTATGATTCTGTACTAGAAGACACAAAAAAGAACCAGGAAGCCCACTGCCAAACCCACTGCCTAGTGGCTCTAACCCTAAATTCAAATTATCACACAGGGAATTCATTTCTGCATTCGCTTACTTGTTCTGACCACCTTTCCTCCAGAGTTGAAGGACAACATTCAGCAGGATGCTCCTCAGCAGCTTGTGCCTCTTCATCTTCCTTCTGGTATCCATCACTAGAGCAGTCTAGTTTCCTAAAGTGTCTTTTTCTGCTTTTTTCTTTCTCTGCAAGGTCTCCAGCCTGCAGTAATCCTTCAGGAAAGGATTCTCCTGGCCCATGAGAAATCACCTGGAGCATATCACCCAAATCCTCTGTCTTCTGGCAGAAGTTCCCTACAGCAGAAGTCCATGGCCCATCCCTGTGTGCCAGCACAGGTACTGGCCCATCAGATTGATCAGACTGTGCATCTAAGCCAAGGCTGGGCCCCGGCACTGCCATGAGTTCCGTGGAGATGCTCTCTGGCAGTCCAGGGAACAACTCCTCTGTTACAGCAGACACAGAAGAATCAAGGAGAGACTCCACCCCAGATGAGAGCATCAGGGCTCTTGAAGATCAGTTGCCCTGAGCTTTTCAGTTTATCCTAAAAATAAAAGCAATGTTAAATCAACGTACATTGGATTAGCCACAGAAAATCCTGAGCTGAAAGAGCCCCCTGAGGATCACAGAAGTCCAACTCCCGGACTAGATTAAAAGGAAAAGCTTAGTTTCTCAAGATCTAAGTATATATGTTTAAAAAAGATACTTCCAATTATGTCTTTAAGAAAGGTGCTGAGAAACATTTGAGTACCTAAGGAAATGCTTAATGAACAAAAGAAGAGAGTAAAGGCAAATAGATATTCCCAAGCTTCATTTTCACTTTCAAACATCTCCCTGCAGATTTAACCGCATCTTGTGAAAAACCTGAGAGGAGGTTATAAAATAAATCACTGGGGTTTGTATCAAACATCCTCCTCCTTCACTAAAACAAACAGTTTGATTTCCTGGGATTTTCATGAGTTTCTAGTCTTTGGAAAAAAGCTCCAACTTTTCTTCACATTCTCTCGAACGAACACTTTCTAAGCCATCAGCCAGCAGACTGCGCCTCTCAGCTTCTCTCTGACACGCAGTACAGAGGATGCCCCGTGCCAGGACACAGCCCCGCTCCCGGATCCTCTTCGGCCCGAAGCGAACCCGCGGTGCGCGGCCGCTGCTCCGTGAGCACGGACAGGAGCTGAGCTCACACCGCTCCTGCCGGCACCGGCAAACCCCGACGGGAAAACGCCGCCATCAAATCGCTCCTGAAGGCTCAGGGATAGGAACGGGCTAAACCAGACCTTTAGAGGAGCATCATTTACTCAGTTTACCAAAACACGGGCTGATCACCCGGGCGCTGATCTGTGCTCCTGAAGCAAGAGCAGCCTGTACAGAAACAGCTGAAACTCGCGCCGGCCTCCTGGGAACACGCGAGGCCACTCGTCCCTGCGAGAGCATCACCCTCCCGGCGATGCCGCCCGAGCCCCGCCGCGGCAGGACCGGGGGCGACCCTTTGTTCTGAGCGCCGCAGCAGCGCCCACGGACTCGGCCCCGAGCCCCGCTCCTTCTCCGCAGCAGCAGCGCCCGCACCGGCCGGCCCCGAGGGCCCGCAGCCTCCCTACGGCAGCGCACCGGAGATCGCCGCTCTCGGTAATTACACAACCGCCGGTATCTCCCCCGCGCCCACGCTGGGCAGGGCCCCCGCCGCCCACTCGGCTCCGCTCCAACACCCGGTCGGCGGCGGCGGGCATAAGGGGCGGGTCCGCGCAGGGACATCCCCGCGCCCCGTCCCGCGTCTCGCTCCGCGCCCGGCGCCGTTACCTGAGCGGCGGCGGCCGCCGGCCCCGCTGTGCGCGCTCGCCGCGCCGCGCCCCGCCTCGCGCGCATCACTTCCGCATCCGGGGCCGGCGCGCGCGGCCCCGGTAGCCGTTGTTGTGGCCCCGCCTCCGGCAGCGCCCGCCCCGCCCCCATGTGGACACGCCCCCGCACCGGGCCGGGTCCCACCGCCCCCGCCCCACGGTGGGCGTGTCCCTGCCGCTCCTGCCCGCGGTGTCACGTGGCGCGCGGCCCCGGACGCGGAAGTGCCTCGCGGGCCCCGCGGGACGCGCGCCGGCAGCTCCGGGCTCCGCGCTCGGACGCTCCGCGAGCAGGGCCGGGACTGCGCTGCGCTCCGCTGTGCCACGGCACGGCTGGCCCCGGCCCCGCCGCGCTCCGCTGGGACTGGCTCGGCACCGTGTCACTGTGACCCACACGGAGCGTTAAGGCTTCCGAGCTCCCTTCGGTCCGGACTGCGCCGTTCTCCCCGGTGTCCTTCCCCCGTGAGCCGCCGCGCTGCTCGCTCTGCGCTACTGCTCCCCGTGTGGGTAAGGACCCTGGCGGGCCCGTGTCCCAGAGCGCCCCTCGCCGCTGCTCCGGGCAGGAGCTCGGGTGTCTCCATGGGTTTCTCCTTCCCTATAAGCGAGCGGCCGAGTGGACGCAGCGGTTCCATTGCCGCCTAATGACTGTAGACACGGTAGCGGGCTGTAACTGCTCGGGTTTGTTTACTCTCCGCTCCGGCCCTGCTCTGTGGCGTCCCCGGTGCGGCTCTGCCGCCTCGCAGCGCTAAGCGGCGCTTCTTTCCAGACTCGCATCAGTTCCAAGTTAGACAGTTTATTTTAATAAATTTTGGATATACGTGTTTTTTTTTCCCCGCCACGACTCTGTAGCTCGGTAATTGACTTTCTGCCAAGCACATCTGCAAGCCCAGCTCTTTAATCTATTTGAAAAGCGCACTTTTACATCCCTTTCTTCTTGTACCTGTAGCTGTCCCGCACTCAGCTCTGCCGCGCTGCGGTGAAGTCGGCCGGGACAACGTGCTGTGTTCACGTGCAGAACATACACAATCGTTTTGCATTGACAAGAGATCCGTGTTTGCTTTCGTTTCTATGTTAGATATGCAAGATGCCTTTAACTGTCTTGGCTCGAAGCATCTGAAAGGAACTGGAGCTCAAGATGAGAACCAACAAGGTCTACAAGCTCGTCATACATAAGAAGGGGTTTGGAGGCAGTGGTCAGTATCTCGTAGCTCATAAGAGTGAGACCAGCACTCACTTCATTGAAAGCAATTGTTTTAGCGATCTTTTTAACAAAAGAGTGAAGATGGAACTTTGATGTAACAAAGCAGTATTGCCAGCTAGAGTTTCTAATAACAGGATACAGCAAAATAAATGAATGTTTATTGGAAGAGACCAAGATTGTATCTAAAAATAAAATTAGTTTATTTTTACTTTCTCCCCTTTTATTGCAACACTTTCTCTTAATCTGGTATTTCAGTCATTCTAATGAGTGACATATATGTCAGTGACTTATGACTGCACATAGATGTGTTTCTGAGCAATGATTGGATTGCTCCCTACTTCTAGATTTACAGCACATTGATAAAAAGCATTTTGCTGATGTGTTCATCATGGTTTGGTGTATTTATGCATGCTGAGCTATTGTATGCAAACATGCAGGTGTCTGTGTTTAGTACATATCTGTTCACTGCCCTCATTCATTTATGTCTTGTAGATGATGAACTGGTGGTGAATCCTAAAGTGTTTCTTCAAATCAAGCTGGGAGATGTTGTGGAAATTGCACATCCCAATGATGAATACAGGTGAATTCTCTTTGCTGATGTCAGTGAGGTTGGAGCACTGAAAGGATCTGTTCACATGTAATGGTTTCTAGAGTGAGAGGCTCTTAGGGCTGACATAACTTTGCTTCAGGACGCTGCCATGAATTTTTCTGCCTAAAGAGAAGTAAAGAGGTTAATTTTAAGAGTGCTTCCTTAAAACTTATAGAATTCTTTGTGTTTGGTGTTTGTTTGCTGATCCTCCATAGGCCAAGTAGCACCTGAATATAGAATCAACAATGTCTGTATCCTCTTCCTAGATCTGCTGTTACCTAAAGATTATTCTCTTATCCTACAGTAGATCCTAGGTAAATTAAAATTTTGTGGCCTTGTAGCATGAACCTGTTTATCCTGCAGCCTGTATCTGAAAAGCAGCAGTACAGTTGTGTGAGGATCTGAGAAGTTCTCCTGTGTGACTTAATTTCCCATTTGTAGTACCATCTTTGCCTCAAGAGTGCCTTATAATTCTGAAGAGTGCAAAGAGCAAGGCAGAGAGACAGGTGGAGAGGATGGTATATGAAGCTTTCTAGAAAATAATGATGTTTCTCTTTAGCTTATCCTGTGGTCCTTGTTACTAAATAGTTTTGAGTGTGTGATTTACCAGAGAGACTGTTGGTATCTCAACTTGTCTACCTTTTTTCTCTTCTCCATGCTAGTCCCTTGCTTCTACAAGTGAAGTCACTTAAGGAAGATTTGCAGAAAGGTAAAACTCTAGACTTATGCACAGTAAAATCATAGGAAGAGTGACATGACTGTACCAGTGATTGGCTAATGTGTGTATTTTAATTTCATAAGAAAATCAATGCTTTGTCTGCTTAGCAAGGCAAGGATTAGAATTTTAACAGAAAATGGGCTGTTAGTTCTAAATCTGCTTTTGTTTGAGTAATGTGAGTATGGTTTAAACAAACTTGGCTTTTTAGCCTGAAATTTGTGTCTCATGACAGTCTCACTGGGTTGGTTTTGTACCTGGAAACCACTTGAAACCTGTAGGGGACATTGACTTCTCTGCTGTCCTCTCTGGTTCTTGCACAGAAACGATCAGTGTGGATCAGACAGTGGCACAAGTGTTCCGCCTGCGGCCCTACCAGGATGTCCATGTCAATGTTGTTGACCCAAAGGTGTGTGGTTTTGCCACTTGTTTCCATCCATTCCATCACTTGACTCAAATCAGAGCCCTGTGACTTTTCACCTACAGTAGTCTGGGGGAAAAAAAACCATCATTTATGTTTTACTGAAGGATATTTAGTTTTCTTTGCTAAGAAAACGAGCCTTAGACTTTTGAATTATTTGTTGGTTTGTTATATGTCTCTTCTCTCCCTGCCATCTCTGTTCTCTTTTTGTACTCTATGATCCTGCTTCAATAGAACTTGGTAGAAATGTAGACATTTCACATATTTTTAAATTTTAGAAATTCATGAGAACCAGGCACAGTAAAGAAAAACAGAAAGTAGCCTAGTCAAAAGAAGAGCCATAGTCTGGATTTGCATTATTTGATACCACAGAGCCTCTTAAAGAGAGGCATTTCCTGTAAATGACCCAACTATTAAAAGAGCTGCAGTCAGAACTTACATTCTGCACAAGACAAAAATCTGCAGGAGATGAGGCTTCCTTATTGCTATGAACAATGGCAGTAATTTGTTTTAATTCAGCTTCCAATCTGCACTGAGACTTGTAGTACAAATTTAATCCTTGGGCTTTTTCTGGTCACATTGTGCAATGTTTTGCAGCTCACAGTAGTTGTGGTACATGCACAGTTTTGGTATTTATTTGTATGGGCTTCCCCTTATCTTGCAGTTCTAGGGATGTTTACTTCCTTTTGAAGGCCCTTCTTGTAACATCTGGTTATTAAATGAACAGATTGGTCGGCCCTACTTAAAAACAACCAGTGAAATCTAAGCAGTGTTTTTCATCCATTTCCCAGGAGGTGACCTTGGACTTGGTGGAGCTGACATTTAAAGATCAGTACATTGGCCGTGGGGATATGTGGCGACTGAAGAAGAGTTTGGTAAGGCCCCTGCTGGCCCTGGGCAGGGTGCAGGTGATGAACCTTGTGTTTTGCTTGCTGTGAAAGAAGAGAAGTGCTTTACAAAATGCAGAGAACCAAAGACAAAGATCCTGAGGATCTTGTGCTGTGAGTGGCACATCAGAACTGGAGAAATGGATGTAAATGAGTTGTGGAAAAACAAATCCCATCATTTCCTACTCTGCTGCTATAACGTTGATTACTGCCTTGGGCATTGAAAATGCTGTTGAGAGTTTTTTTGCTTATGTTCTGGATTTAAATAATTTACTACATTTGGAGGGAATTGAATCAAAATGTTTTTCAAGTAGAAGTATGCTGAAGTGTCCCCTCTCTGAGAGTACCACTTAATAAGCAGCTATTAGAATATCTTCTGCCTGTATCTCTGAAGTGCAGTCTTCAGCTCCTCTAAGTGCAGTGAATTAGGCAAATGATCCCAGTTAGAGTTCAGCTGTGTAAAAAGGGATTTTTTTGTTGTCTTTTACAGAGGTTCTGCTGGCTGAGCTCTTCGTAGCAACTACACAGAATAGATTTTGTAACTTCTGTTGTAAAAATCATGTTTGAGTGCAAGTGGTTTTTATGCACGTTGTTCTTCTCACTCTTAGCCTGCTCTTCTTCTAACATATGTAACCCTTCTTTCTTAGGTCAGCACATGTGCATATGTCACCCAAAAAGTCGAATTTGCAGGTATCAGGTCAGTGCCTCCTCTGAGGGCTTACTGTTACTTACTGCTTTAGCTTCATGAATTTTAAATATCCAGCTGGAGACTCTTCTCTGAAAAATCCTTCACATTTCATTGTTCTCTTACTCATCTGCAGGTTTCTGTCTGTACCATAGGGTGGGGGAAGGCTTCTATCTGATTTGGGGTAAAAGAAACTAATAGTAGGGCAGCCAGCTACACTCATGGCCTCTGATGAAGGCCAAATAATTTTATTTTTATCTCTTAGAATATTTACTCGTCCTTCCCAAGGAAGAGATTACTTCAGTTGCTTTTGGGGTGACACAGGGACAAGGAAATGTGCAGATGCAGAGGGAAATGGCTGTTTGACATGTTTTGGGTTAAACATCAGGTTTTAACCAAATAAGTAATCCTTGAGTGCAGATTTTGGTGCATCTTACTTGCTCAAATACTGATTCTCTAATCTTCATATTCAAATATTCTGCACTTCTTTTCTTCCAGGGCCCAGGCAGGTGAACTGTGGGTAAAGAGTGAGAAAGTCACTTGTGGATACATCAGTGAAGACACCAGGGTAAGAGTACAGGAAACAGGGGGAAAGCAGCTTTTCCTTTCCTTGCCTTGCCAGGATTTTTGTAATTCTATCTTGCTTGCAGATTTGTATGGATCATTGGAATTGGCTGTATTGTAAGGTTAAGAATGGCAGTATAAGTTCAGGATAATGAATCATTACTAAACTTCAGCTCTGCTGTGCTGGCAGCACTAGGAATGACTTGTTAGAGGGGAAATGCCCTGTGGTGCAAGGGCCACTGTTGTGTAAATTGCTGTGTAGTTAACTTCATTTGGGCCTTCTAATGAACGTGCTTGGTTTGAAATAAGGTCTTGCATTCCTTTGCAGGTGGTGTTCCGCTCCACTTCTGCCATGGTTTATATTTTTATCCAGATGAGCTGTGAAATGTGGGATTTTGATATTTATGGTACGTGTGTGACTGACCTGCCTGTGACTGGATGGTAGCAGCTGTCCTTTCTGCCCCTACTAGAAAACTGCCTCTGCTATTCTTTTCTGCCACTACCAGCAAACTAAAATATCCTGCCTTTGGCCTAAGCAGTGCTCCAGGGTGTGTTGTGGTCTGTCCTTAGATCCTTCCTTGCAGTGCCCGTTTCTGTCCCTGACTGTGCCATCCTTTTCCTGTCTCTGTAGAGCCTGGGTACCATTATCTCAGCCACAAAATCACTGTGAGCATTGGAAAGGTTTCTGTGGATATGGACATGTTGGGTGAGGAGGGCAGGTGCAAGTTTGTGAATCCTGAAGCCAGAAATGTGTGGAAGTCCTGTGCAAAGGGGACCTCGATGTTTTAGATTTCTCTTGACATTGGCTTACTGAGGAAGTGAAACCTGTCTTAGCCCGGCTTGAAGTTGGTAACTTCAGCTGGAAGTATTACAACTTTAGGCATTAAGAATGAGTCACTTCTCTGTGTCATCCTATTTTTTTTTTCTGGCTTAATTCTTTAGCAAACCTCTTGCCACTTCCTTTGACCATGTGTTTAGGCATATGGAACTGGGCCACTATTCAAATCAGATCTGGCAGGGGATCAGTTGTGCATTCTCTGCCTTAAAGACAGTACAGATGCTTTCCCAGCATGCTGGAAATGTGTTGGAAAAATGAATTAAAGGTCAGATCCTTCTGGCAGTAAGAGTCATGTTTACATCCTCTGAAAAAATGATGCTTTTTAATCTTCTTATCAGAAAACAGTCATGCTTTTAAATCATTTTATCATCTTATCTTAGTGATATTGTCCTTTATTATGCACACAGCTGCTCAAATTTTAATAAATGTAATTGTCATAGAATCGTAGGGTTAGCTATGCCCCATAGTTGAAGTAACTATTGTTATCTGATGTTTGGGAGATTTTTATTTTGCAGGGGATCTATACTTTGAGAAAGCTGTGAATGGTTTCCTTGCTGACCTCTTCACAAAATGGAAGGTAAATAGTTGATTGAGTTCAGTTTTAATTTTTACTTCTTGTGGAATTGTTAGGGGTATCTCTGTAAACAGTTACACATCAGAATATCAAATTGCTGTGGGTATAAACAAACTGTGTCAACTGTCTGTTTTCTTAACAAGAATCTTGGCAGCTAGAGAGAGGAGCTTCTTTAGAGACTAGTGGAGAGTGCTCCTGGTGAATGTGATGTAGCCAAGCAGCACAGAATCTGCAGGACAGACCATTTTGTTATTTCTGAGAGGCAGATGGAGCACTCGGGCAGATCCATTAATGCAGCAGTCTAGGTTTTGTTAGTTACCTTTGTTTCTGGGTGTGAGGGAGCAGAGGCTGTTACTGTATGTGTGTATACACAACTTTCTACCAAGTGTGACTTTTAAGGTTGTCTTTTTGCATTGTTCTTCCTGGACAGGAGAAGAATTGCAGCCATGAAGTGACAGTGGTTCTATTTTCAAGAACATTTTATGAAGCAAAATCTATAGGTATGCAAATTCTCTATTTTCATGTTTCCTTTTTTAAACCTATCTCATCTCTTGAAAGTTGGTCCCAGGCTGACAGGGACTTTTTCTCTTTTTTTAATTGCCATGTTCAAAGTATTCTCTGTCAAGCACAGTAGGTACACAGTCATTGTTATGAAAGTACTGCAGTGAAAACCTTGCATGGAAGAATGTTGCAAATTTTCCTCATCATACTCAAGCTGTTATATTGGTTTAAAAGCAGTTTTTGTATTGTATAGGAGGTCTTATATTTCTCCAAGTACTTCAGTTTTTCGTTTGCTTGCTGGGGGCCTTTTTGGGTTTTTTTTGTTTGTTTATTTTTAATGGAAATAACAGCTTCTTGTTGGAAAAGATGAGTCATTTCTATACATGAGCATGGGATGAGATATGCTTTTCCTTCAACTCCAGATGAGTTTCCTGAAACACATCGTGCATCAATTCGGCAGGATCATGAGGGAAGATTTTATGAAGATTTTTACAAGTATGTTTTCCTCCCAGTTCTTTTCACCTCCTGTCCAATAGCATCTGTGCATCCTGATGCACACTTTTGTGCATTTCTTTATAGTTTCCTCATCCCTTCTCACTTCCCCTCGTAGTTTCCTTTCATCAGGTTGTGTTTTTCCTAGAGTTGTAGTTCAGAATGAGAGGCGGGAAGAGTGGACCTCCTTGCTTGTGACCATTAAAAAGCTTTTCATCCAGTATCCTGTTTTGGTACGACTTGAGCAAGCAGGTAGATGAATCCTCTTTTCTCTGCTTTTATCCTTTGCTCTTTTTTAAAAATTTTCTTTTAGCTGGTCAGTAGACTGTCCAGTTTCAGTTGGAGTCTGGTGTCATGCTACTTAGTGCTCTCCTGGCTGGGCAATTTGCCTTGGTCTTTCTGTGGAACTTAACAGCATCAATTTTGCCTGTATTTTTTGAATTAATAGTATTTAGTACAGATGTATTTTTCTGTGTGTTTTTTATTGTATAAAGCTAGTATACAGGAATGATGATCTTTTTTTTTCCCTTCTGAATACTTTTCCAGAGGGCTTTCCTCCGGGTTACAATTCTACCTCAGCACAAGGGAACTACCTGGAGGCCATAAATCTTTCATTTAATGGTAAGTTATGAACAATGGATAAAAATAATATGGGGGAAGAACTATTAAAGCAGTAAATGGCTGTGGACTTGTGTTGCTTTTTCCTTCACACTGTGAAGAAGAGGGGAAGATTAGGTGGTCTCCTGCCTTGCTCTGAAAAGAAACACTTTGAAAGTATTGCTGCATTCTGTCTGCAGTGTTTGACAAGCATTACATCAACCGCAACTTCGACCGCACGGGGCAGATGTCGGTGGTGATCACCCCTGGCGTGGGCGTGTTCGAGGTGGATCGGCTGCTCATGATCCTCACCAAGCAGCGCATGATTGACAATGGTAAACAACTCCTGCGGTCTGGGAAAGGCTGGGAAAAAGTATCTACTGTAAATTGTGTGCTCTGGGAGGAAGGGTTACAGCTGCAAGACTTGTGTCTACGCTTTGTATTGAAATGAGCAGATTTTCAGAGTACTTACAGGCATTTCATTTCTATTGTTTGTGATAGAGAACTTCACCTGTCTGTGCAAACCCTTCTCTTAAAGGATAATCTTGCACAAATTGCATTAAATTAGAAAAATCATTTCTTCTATCTCCACAGGTACTGGTGGTTTGTGACCATACCATGGGACCATTAACTACCATTTTCAGTATTATTGCATCTTATCATATGATGTGAATACATATTGGGTCTTCAATTCAAATTGATGATCTATTTTGTCTTATCATATTGGTCCTGCTTGGTCAATAGCTGAACTCCACTGTTGTCTGTTTACAGGGATAGGTGTGGATTTGGTATGCATGGGAGAGCAACCCTTGCATGCTGTGCCACTCTTTAAGGTAAGGCTGCTCTCCTTCTCTCTGTTCCTGCTACAAACCTTATTTTGTGACTGGCTGGATACAGTTAGTTGCTTCTGAATTACTCTTACAGCTCCATAATCGCTGTGGCCCTGGTGACTCACGAATGGGTGATGACTACAATATCCCACACTGGATAAATCACAGGTACGTGAATTCTGTCAGCTTTTGCTAAACACTTGTGCTTTGCTTTACTCTTCATAATCTCTTTAATCCCCTTTCCTCTTTCACTGTTTACCTCCTCTGCTTTCCTTGTGAAGCAAAGGAAATATTACATTACTCTTGCAGAACTCTGGGCATTAATGCAACCTAACAGAAATGACAGGGTTTTCAAACAGCTGGTGGGAATCACTACAGCTGTGTAAATCAGAAAGAGTTGTAAATGGCACAGTGGAAGTGTATGCGTTTCTGTGGAAAGAAAATGAACTGGGCAATGCAGGTGCTAAGCATATTAACAAGTGTCTATGCTGAGGCTGTACAAGCAAAGAGGAGCGTGTCTCAACCATCCCTCCGTGTTTTCTATACATTTTTTGTGCACAGAAAGGTATCCCATATTCTCTATCCAATAGCTGACTCAGGTTCCTGGTCTGTTTAAACCGTGTAGCAAACAAACAAATAAAAAAAGCCACACTGTTTTTTCTTTCAGTTTCTACACATCCAAAAGCCAACTCCTGTGTAACAGCTTCACTCCACGGATCAAGCTGGCAGGAAGGAAGGTGGGAATCTTTCTGATTTATATTTTCTTACTAGCTCGTCCAGTACCTCTTCCCAGTCAAGCATCACAAGTATTCCATCAGCTGGAACTAAGTTTCTGTGTTAAAAGGCTGTGAAAGCAAAGCTGCAAGGTTTGTTGTAGGGATTGTGAATGAGGGACTAGTTTCTAGGTCTTTCCTTTCTAGATATAACTGGGTAAGAAATGTTTTAGCCACCATAAAAATTAGTTTCATTCTGTAACAAAGAACTCTATGGAGAGGAAGAAAGGTTTTGAGAATTGTGTTTTTCACACAGTTTTATGACCAAGTATCAGCATTTAGTATTTCTGAAGTTGTCTGGCTGCCTCACTGAGTCAGCAAGCTAAACTTTATCTGCTAGATCACCACTGGGGATGTTTCCTTAGAACATGCTTAGAACATGCTGACTGATTGCCTTCCCTCTGTCTTTCCTGTTGCTCCTTTTTTTTTTTTTTCCCTCTTGTTTGTTTTTTTTGGTCACTTCACCCTTCCTTTGTTGGACCCTCCAGCCACTGACGGAGAAAGCAAAAAATAATCGTGATGCCTGTAAGTAATTCTGTTCTGGAATGATCTGTCCCACTGACTCCCAAACTGACAGACAGCTGCAGTAACACAATGACACTTCAGCACAAGGAAGGGACAATTGTTACAGAAAACCATCAAACCGTTTGAGTATTTCTCATATCTGTTACTTGGGATGCTAATGAGCATGTGCCAGTTGATATCTTGGCAATTACTCATTTAGTGTTTAGGATATATGGGGGAAAGACACTGTGGGCTCAGCCAGCCTGATTCAGAGGCACCAGCTTGGATAATTGAGCTGCTCCAGCTGCTCTGCTCATGACACTTTGGGATTTCTTTTGGAATAGATACTTTCCTTAGGGGTGAGAGGTGGATACTCTGACTTGTGGATCTTAAACATTCTTACATTCCAGTACTGTGTGATTTTTATTTCAGCATTAGGAGCTCCAAAGGATGCTGAAAATGCTTTGCCTATCCAGGTAGATTATGATGGCTATGATGCCCAGGTGTTCAGACTGCCAGGCCCAGCCAGAGCCCAGCGCTGTACCACTTTCAGGTGAGAGGCTTGGGAGTGCACTGCTTCTAGAGCAGCCATGTTATGTGTGCTTGACACATAAAATACTTGGAGAAATACAAGAAGAATTGATCTTCACATGCTCACAGCTGAACAAAAAGCTTCCATCTGTCTGTACCTGATCTTCATGACTGGTTATCTGGTATTTTACTTGTAAAATAGTATGTGGGCTTTAGCAAGAGGCGTAAATGTCTTTTTCCCTTAAATCTTTAATTTTGTTTGAAGTGGAATAAAGCTAGTCTTTCTAGCAGATTTTCAAGGGGGTTAAGAAAGTATTTGTACATTAGATTTGCACAGAGTTGAATAAACAGATTGTTTGATACACTGCTTAGTAACTGGTGAACTTAGAGTGGTAAGGAGTCCTCCCTGAAAATGATGCCTGTCTGAATGAGAAAAGAAGCAGAAAAGCTGGGTGCAGGTTCTCAACTATTCCGTGTCCTTTTGTCTGAGGAGAAAGGCTGATTGTTCTCAGATCCTGGCCAAATTAATTGAATAAACTATAAATTTCAGTGCTTTTTCAGAAATACAGGTTTGACAAGCTTGCTTTGAAGTACATTTTTTATTGCCTAATTCAGAGCATGTGGCCTCACTTGTTAATATGTTAATTTGAGCAGCCTGTAAGAACTCATGCTGAAAGATGCCAGCACAATTTAAATAATTCCAAGCAGTTTCCCTATTGCTACATGTTCCTGGCACTGTAGGCTGAGGTCTGGTATCTACCAGGTTAGTGTGGTGTCTGTAGGATTGCAGGGGGGGGTGAGCAGGCCCTTTCACAGCCCTTGTGCTGGAACTGTTGCAGTGTTCTTGTTGTGCTGTGTGATGCACAGAAGTATAAATTACCCAAACAGTCAAAAAAGATAGTGATGGCTTCTCTGTGATGCTCTTCTTAGTTCACCTGCTGAGCATCCAGTCTTTTGCATGACTTGGGCTTGATTCCCTTGCATGACTGATAACCTGGAGAATTAAATTTGTCTTTGCTGTCACTGGGCATCCCTCTCAGCAGGTCAGTGAGGGAGAGGGAAAGCCGCACGAGGAAGAGCTCCAGCTCCTACGATGTGTCGTGCAGCCCCTCCCTGCAGAGCCGCACCCTGCCCCCGGAGGAGGTGAGGAGCCAGGCTTCTGACGACAGCTCCCTGGGCAAGATCTCCAACATCCTCATGATCCCACGGCCTCACCTGCACCAGTGTGAAGTCAGCAGCTCCTTGGGCTATACCAGCACCAGAGGTCAGCCTGGGGCAGGTGGGAAGGGAGAAGTTTGTGTTGGCCACTGCCAGGCTAGCACAGTGGAGATGGTGCTTGTGTTGGCACTCATGGTACAACTTTTCTGTAGCTCCAGCTGCAGCTGCCTGTTCATTCTCCCTTTGTCATCCTTGTCCAATTCCATTGCTTTTTTTTTAATGGCTTATCCTAAATAGAAGTGTCCTGACACTGATTTGCTCTTTTCCCTTGCCTATTGCTTTCTTTAGTACTTGACTATTCTCCTGTGCCTGCCTGCAGGTGTGGACATACACAAGGAACTTGTATTATCCAGGTCACCTGTAATCTGTCAAATGGGAGCTGGCCTTAGCAGTGAGCCCTGGGGGACCCTGCTTATAACATTTTTCTGTGGGGATTTGTTGTCATTAAGACTCACTTTCTGGATCCTTCTTTTTGACAATGTACTGCTGAACTGTCTCTGTGTTAGCAGTGCTGGCACTCCTCTTTTCTTCCTTTCCAATTTAATTTTGTTCTCAGGCAGTATGCAGTATCTTCCACAAACCCAGTTCGTTTCCAGGTAAATTGTATTCCTCCTGCAACTGCTTCATCTTCTATAAAATTCTATCCCTGAAGGTTTTTCTTGGCTTTTTCATGCCATGCTGTTTGACACTGCTACCATATCTATCCTATCACAGGAATTGCAGTTGTGGAGCTGCTCTCACACAGTGTACTTGACATCACATCTACCATTCATATTTTCCCCTGCTGTCAGTAAATACAACTCTTTTCTTTCTTTGGTATTTCTGTTACTCTTTTAATTTGAAGGATAGTTGTGTGACCCAGTTGAAGGTATTCAGCAGGATTAGGATGTGTGTGGATTAGGACTGGCAGAGAGGGAAGAGTCAAAGAAATGGAGATTTATCACATGTTGTATTTTAAAATATAGAATGGTAAATGAGACCCTTCCTTCTCTTTGTGATTTCCAAATCACAAATTTGTTGGGAAGAGTAATTGCTACTTATCTGTCTGGTATATTTTCCTCTCCTATTTCTAAATAACTGCACTTCTGTTCTACACTGAATAGTGACAACTAACTGGTATCTGATGGAGATCATGTCCCATGTCTTCTGGGGGTAATCCCTGATTTCAGTGCTCAGATCTGAGTGTTACAGAAAAGGCATGTGCACAAGGCTCAGCTCTCACTTCTCCTGTGTCTTTGGTGCTCATCGTGAAGTTTCTGTTATGTCAGTCTTTTGATTTCTCAAGAATTCTCAAAGGTCTGAGTAGTTCTTCATGATTGTCTTAGCAAGTGGTTTCTTTATGGATTCATTTAATAGAAGTTTACAGTTTACAGTAGTGCTGTGGGGTAATGCTTTTTCTTCTCGGGGTTCTTGTTTACATTGTAACTCTCAGGCTGGATAGAAATTGCTTTCAGCTTCTCTGCCTGCTTATTCCTTAGGTTTCCTTATTTCCCCTTACCCTCGGCATCACTGAGCAGTTAATTCTCTGGTGCTCGGCTCCTGCAGGATCTCACTGTGGCTGGGCTGTGTTTTGCAGATTTCCTGGAGAACACTCTGGAGTCCCAGCAGCGCGACTCCAGCGCCCCGGGCCGGTTCCACGTGGGCAGCGCCGAGTCCCTGCTGCACGTACGGCCGGGGGGGTTCGCTCCGCAGCGCGCCCTCATCAACCCCTTCGCCCCGTCCCGCATGCCCATGAAGCTGACCTCGAACCGCCGGCGCTGGATGCACACCTTCCCCGTGGGTGAGCTGCTCACAGCACACCTCCCTGCCCCGGTACTCTGTCCTTGTCCAGGGTTAGCACGGCAGGAGAGCCGCTGAGAGCTCCACTGAAGTGCTCTGCACACTGCACTCCTTGGTTCACAAATGAGTGTGCAGGCCTGAGCAATCCTCTCTGGGAAATACCTCTGTTTGCAAACAGGCAGCAACAGGTCCAGAGCAATTCCCTGTTGAAGGAATTGTAACTACAATATGGGTTGATTTTTTTTCTGATGCTGAATTGTTTGCATAATTGTTTAATGCCTTGTAAGTAGGCCCTCCAAAATGTTTTTAAAAATATTTTGCTTTGCTTGCTTCAGAGGAGATGGCAGAGGTTCAAGGCTCTGAATATTTTGTGAACATGCTTTCTTAATGTCTATTAGCTCTCATTGCCTATGCTGTTGGCAAAAGAAGGCTACAGGCAGTTGAGGAACCAGTGCAGATGTGGTGATCAGTGATCCAATTGTAACTGTGTAGGTCCCTCAGGAGAAGCTATCCAGATCCATCACCAAACCCGGCAGAACATGGCAGAAATGCAGGGCAGTGGGCAGCAGGATTTGACACATTCCTCGGCAGAGCTGCTGGAGCTGGCTTACCATGAGGCAACTGGCAGGTGAGCCATTGCTCAGTCCTGAATGTTGGGTTTATAGAGCATGAAATCAGGTCTGTAGATGGCCAGCTAAGCTTTACTTCTCTCCTGAGGGGACGTGAGTAGCTGGTTCTTTGCTGTCCTGCAAAGGCAGTGCTTTGGTTATTGCTGGAGGCAAGGAACAAACAGTACGGACGGATGTGGAATGCTGTCACAGCCTTCTCTGTGCTCCCCTCTGCTGTCCCATCTCTGCCAACAGCACTGAGGGAAGAGACCCGAGGGCTTGTTGTTACATTTGCAAAGAGCAGGGAATGGCACGAGTGAGGAAGGTTGTACAAAGCAGGCTGGTTTGTTTCTCTGCAGACACGTCAGCTCTCGGCACCCAGGGGACAGTGGCTCCTTCCTGAGCTTCGGCGGGGCAGAGGAGTTCGGGAACGGGCTGGGGGCCGGCCCCGGAGCAGGTACCGGGCAGGGGCGGGGCCGGGAGGGCTGGAACACGGGGCAGGACTGTGACACGGGCCGGGGACACAGGCACTGCAAAGAGGAAAAATCCAGAATGGGAAAACAGTGATCTGCTAGTGCACTTATGTGGACTTCTTGGTGTATAGTAGTTCTTTGGGTTGCTCTGTTGGTTATAGTTTGGTTTTGTTTAATGTTTCTCTACTTCTCTAGGTGTGTTTTATAAAGTTTATTATAGAAAGATGCTCATTGTTTACTGATAATAAGCTCTCAGGCAGTAACTGAGTTCCATAATAACAAAGCAGTGATTTCAGACACAAAAAATAAATATGCACTGCTATTCAGAAGTCTTTTTTTTTCTTGGTGGAGTTGCCTTAAGCTGTTATCCTTTAGAGAAAAGACATGTCTGTACTTCCACTTGGAGATTACCTCTATCTTCTTTAATTTGCCCAGAGACCTGAATTAGTGGAAATTCTCAACATTTCTTTTTGGCCCTGTAAATGGGACAACATGCCATGTAAAGTATTCTACTGTGTTGTCTGGTTTTTTGTGGATTTTAGCTAGGCACATGGAAAAAAGTTGAACTTTTGGACTAGAGCATTCAAGACTTACGTTCTTTGCTCAAAACCAATTTAAACATTTTTTATGAGACTAAATTTGCCCTTCTGAATTATGTTGGATTAAGCCAGTTTTGTTTTCCCTTATGCCTTGCAGAGCCATAAAGAAGTTAGCAGACTTAATTTTCTTGTGCCTCATCTTGCATTCACATAGTCACATTAAAAATTATTTTCTGCTGCTTCCTTCTGTGGATTTCATCTGATTACATTTAATTTTCTTGCTTTACATTTTTAGTATTTTCTGGCTTCCAGATAGGCTCAGTTTGTTTTTGCAGTTGCTAAACTGCATTTCAGCTGGATACAGTTTGCACAATGTAAATGCAGAGCATGTCCTGGCAATAAACATGCTTGCATTTTACAGAATTTCTTTGTGTCTGTAGACCCTCACCTATCTAGAGGAGCCACACTGGTACTCAGTGATTGGACTGAGAGTTCTCCCTTATGGTTTGAGTCACCTATGGAATAAAACAGTTTGGGAGGCAGTTGTGTTTTTGTCGAATTTCCAAAAATGCAGTTTCTTACTGAGCCTGCAGCATAGTTTGGTGCGTCATGGGCTTCAGAGTGAAACATGATCCCATCTATTTCCCCTGGCGTTTGGGATGTCGTCGCTGTTGCCCCGCAGATGGAGGTGGTGGCTCAGACGAGTGAATGCTGTTGCAATTCCCGGTGTGGATGGCAGATGGCAGGAGGAGCTGGTGAAAGGTGAATTCTCAGAGCCAGCTCCCCCGAGGGTTACTGGCATCATCACGTAGCAGATATCCGCCCTTCCTCTTACAGGGGAGCAGCTACGGTGTTGATACCAATTTCCTGGGTAAATCTACCTAAGCCAGTTTTAAACAATAGTTCCTTTCAAATGTTTAGAGGCTTCCTGAAATTTTAATTTTGTTAAATGGCTTTAAAGGCAGCAGTTTTTGTCTCCTTAGCAGCTCTTTTTCTTTCCTGTGCCATACCAGGTGTTTATAGGAGCTTACAGCATCTACTTTTTAAGATGTTTCACCATTTTGAGGAGGAGGATTTTGTTTGTGTTTTAGCTACTGAGCACTTCTAGTGAGATGTTCAAGTTTGATCCAAGATGTATTTTTTCCTCATTAATTGGCTTAGTGTTTTTTTTCTGCTGTGCAGAATCCTGAGATTTTTCCATGCAGAGAAATTCTATATCTTAAAACATCATCACGCTTCTGATTTATTTTTATTTGAAATTCAAGAGGAGTGCATAATTGCTTAAGATAAAACGCATTACTTTCTTGTAGGGGTGACCCTCAAAACTCAGAACAAGGATTCCTTAGAAGATGCTGTCTCTAATTCTCCAGATCCAAGTAAGCAGGAGAAAGATTTGGAAGAGAGTTTGCATAAGTGGGAAGGTGGGGAGGGAAGGGGCATGTACATATATAGAGGCATCAGGAGGTGGTAGGCAAAAAACTGAGGAGCCTCCTTGGCTTTTGGCAGTGGTTTATTTTGGCCTGCAGTAATTTGCAGGATCTGCCTGTACTGTCTCACTGTGATTGCAGTTCTGTAGTTCTTAAAAACATGTGAAGCTGTTTGTTGTGTTACAGCTGAAATCCTTTCCTTACCAGACACTATTATGCAAAAAGCTAAAGCTGCTGAACTTGTATCTGCCTCTCAGTATGAAAAGTTTGTTTGGTACCAGCTTGTTGAAGTAGAATTAGTACAGTCAATTTCTGAATTTGGTACCATTCACTGAGAAATATCTGCCTTCACTTCCTAGGGAAACAAGTGTGTCACTGCTTAAGAAAGCATCTTTGTAGCAGTCTGTCCTGTGTTACTTTCTTGTGCAGTGTTCCTGCCACTGGTGTTAACACTTCTATAGTAAAATAAATATCTGTCTGTGGGATCTCTGTGATAAGAAGTTAAGTCAGTAGGTGATACAGATTGTTTGAATTGGGTCAGAATGTAATGCAGTGGTGAGCTGATGACTTGGTATAACCTAGTTAGCTTTTCCTTTTCAATGTCTAGTTTTACATCCCTGTAATCTCAGAACTGCAGCATAACTCTAGGAAAGGGTGTGGGAAAAGATTGCTTTCCAAGTTACTATTTTTCTGGTCTTCCCACCCCTCTGGATATATCTTCTGTTTTTATAACTGTGGAAATACTCCCTTTTCTGCTGTTGTACTAGTCCAGAAAGAGGCTGGTCTGTCATTCTTTCTCTCCTTCTCTCCAGCTCTTTCTGCAGTTGTCTAGGATGCAAAACTGGTCTGATTTTCTTGTTCAGACTTGGAATGTTGATCTGTTTATTAATAATCAGTAACTGCACTTGACTTGCTGTAATTTTGGAAGAGCAGTGGCTATGTCAGCTCTAGCTTTCAATCAAGAGGAAATTAAATATATTAACTTTGAATGCCTTTTGCATGATGGGATTGAATCAGCATGTGCACTGCATTGTTTAACAAACTCTGTCTCTTTCTCTCCCTCCCTTCTTCCCATCCTGTTTTCTTTTTCCCTTCCCATTCCACACCCTTTTTTGTCCCTGTTGACTTTATGCCAACTCTGTTTTTCATCTCTCATTCTTTTCAACTCTCCACTCACTTCTTTAATCCTGCTCTGGACCCTGTTTTTCGACGGGTGACCACACGTGTCCCCCTTGTGTGCCCCCATGACACAACGAGGCAGTTCTGACGCTGTCTGCTCCCCCCATAGTGCCAGGCTTCTGTTGTACAGTTGGAGTGGACTGGAAATCCCTCACAACCCCGGCCTGCCTCCCTCTCACCACCGATTACTTCCCCGACCGCCAGAGCCTGCAGAACGATTACACCGAGGGCTGCTACGACCTCCTGCCAGAGGCTGACATGGACAGGTTTGGCCAGCACCTCCTCTCTCCAGTCCTGTGCTTAAGGAGCAGGTGATGGAAGAGGATCACTGCAGTGTGTACAAGGGAATGATGGATTGCTAACAGAGCAGCAGAATACTTACGTTGGTTGTTTTTTTTTTCCAGTGATACCTTTGGACCTTTTCTGATGTTCCCACCTGACAGTATGGTGTGCTCTGTAGATTTTATGTTAGAAATTGTTTGGATACAAATTTTTATGTCTCTTTTTTGTTGTGTTTTGATCAAAATATTCAATCTCAAGTCATCATCTCTGTTAATCAACTTGCTAGCAAGTGTTTTGGAAACACTAATGAGCAAATGCATGTGGACACAGTATTTAAGATGCTTATCCTCACTCTAAAGGATATTTGGTTTAAAGAATCTTGATGAAAAACTGTGTTAGTTGGACAAACAGAACTTCTCTGCTTGTCTTGGAAGTCTCTGGCAGCTATTCTTTAATAGGGTTAGTTTGGTTTTTTTTTTATTGAAGCACTCTTGTTATCTTGAACTTTTTTCAGTCTTTCCATAACTTGTAAGACATCAAAAGACCTGCTCATGTTGCTGCTTTATGGGAATAAAAAAACCCTGAATTATTAATCAGGGTGATTGAAATACATGGGAGGTCATGGGATTAATGAAGAAACACCTGAAAGAAATGCCAGTAGGAAGGCAGAGCTCAGAGCAGGAGTTGCACTGAGATGAATCTGTCCTCTAATCCCTCCCAGCTCTTCACTTCCCATTGTGGGAGAGGCTGGAGCAGTGCTGCCCTCTGGCATTCTGAGCTCTCCTTAACATGTACAAACTGCACTGAGGCTGCCTGCAAAGTGCTCAAACAAAGCCATCTTTGGGGAATTTATTGTTTCACAACTGCTGTAGGCAAATTTGTTACTAGTTGCCAAAGTGCTTTCAAAGGCAGCAGTAAGTATTGCCAGGCAGTTCATCACCCTGTGTCAAAAAGTGCCCCTTTCCCCTCCTGCTCCCACAGGCAGGTGTTCCAGAGCAGAGCTGAGAATCGGTGTGTGGTCACTTCCTTACTCTAGTCTGCTTAACCTTTGTGTTCAGGAGGGATGAGGAAGGAGTGCAGATGACAGCCCAGCAGGTGTTTGAGGAGTTCATTTGTCAGCGTCTCATGCAAGGCTATCAGATTATTGTGCAATCCAAGCCACAGAAGCCAGCCCCAGCTGTGCCACCCCCTCTCAGCAGCAGTCCCCTCTACAGCAGAGGTGAGTGGCCTGGGCTTGACAAGTCAGGCTTTTCTCTTTCCTTCTGCCAGTACCAGAAGCCTCAAATTAGGCACATCCACCAGTTGCTCAACACTTTGTTGGCTCTCCTGTGATGGTTCTGCCCATGAAAGTTCTGAATGGGTGGTGTATGAATCTCGAGTGCTCTTCTTTGCTTATGATATTAGCAAATCTTAACTGTAAGAGCAAAAGACTCCTTGTGCAACTGCTCCCTAAAAGTGTGGCCTGAAAGATGGATTTAACTTGTGCTGAGTTCAGAAAGCCACTTCTGGACTCCAGTTCTGGAGTCTCTTTCTATAGGCCCAGTTTGTTGATGAAGTTCTGAGTACTGCAGTAAGCTGAAAGGGTTTTGATTTTTACAACTAGGTCTTGTGTCAAGAAATAGACCTGAGGAAGAGGATCAGTACTGGCTGAGCATGGGCCGTACTTTCCACAAAGTCACCTTAAAAGACAAAATAATTACTGTGACTCGGTACCTGCCAAAGTGAGTATCTCTCTGCTTGAGCAGTTTGCTGTCAGTGTTCAGATGAACACTCTTCTCCAGCTCTGTGCTTGCTGGAAAGAACACCACCTTTCTTTTTAGGAGAAGAAAGAGAAGCACCAGTGTCAGTAATACTGAGAGTAATGCTTGTGTTTGGTCTTTTAGGTATCCATATGAATCTGCTCAGATAAACTACACCTACAGCTTGTGCCCCTCACACTCTGACTCTGAATTTGTCTCTTGCTGGGTAGAATTTTCCCATGAGAGACTAGAAGAGTACAAGTGGAATTACTTGGATCAGTATATCTGCTCTGCTGGCTCAGAGGATTTCAGGTGAGAGCTCCTTTTCCATCCAGACTGTTCTGTGTCCTAATTGCCTCTTTTCCTTTTTGACCTAAAATTTCATCATCAAGTTCAACCCACGAATGCTCAGTACTCCAGGGAGAATATCTGGCCTGCTTTCACTGTCAGCTCCCAGCAGCTGTTGCCTTGTGGGAACCTTGCTCTCTGTTGCTGCTGCATTATCTGACCTTTGATACAGACTCTTGATCTCAAAATTCAGCATGAACTTTTTTTCCCCTGCTACGAATGCAAAGAAATGAGATGGCATTTTGTACCACACAGATGCTTTTCTTGGCTTCTTACTGATTTCTGGATCTGACTTAAAACTTCCATTTATTTTGAAGCTGTTGCTGTTTTCTTCAGTGCTGTGCTTGACTGCAGTCCTACTCCTAAGCTGCGGAGCAAGTGCTTACCAGAAACAGGGAATATCTCCACTAGTATCAATAGCTTTTTTGATATCTTCTCTCTACACAACCAGTCTTTATTATCTTTACTTTTCAGGTCTCAGTCAAAATACCTCCTACGCTAATGTGCACCTTGAAAATTCCTTTTTGCTTGCATATTTTTAGAGAAAAAGCTTTTAGGGCCTATCTTTTACAGAAAAGAAAGCAAATCTCTGTGTGACAATGACTCTGAGCACAGCCTTGTTGCCAGTGACGTTCAAATTGCTGACCATTCCTTTGCACGCGTGTTCATTCTGTCTCAGGTGGTCGCTGCACTCACTGAAATGTGCAGCAGGTAGATTTATATTTTAGATTCTGGAAAACCCTTCCCGGGAAACTGCTGAGCTCTGTCCTGCCTTTCCCGTTGCTGCAGCCTCATCGAGTCGCTGAAGTTCTGGAGGACGCGGTTCCTGCTGCTGCCCGCCTGCATCAGCGCCACCAAGCGCATCATGGAGGGGGAGGCGCACTGCGACGTGTACGGCGACAAGCCCCGCTCGGACGAGGAGGAGTGGCAGCTCCTCGATGGCTTCATCCGCTTCGTGGAGGGCCTGAACCGCATCCGCCGCCGCCACCGCTCCGATCGAATGATCCGAGTGAGTGCCCGGCCCCGCGGGGACTGGCTGGCACCTGAGCCGCTGAGGAGGCCTGGGCAGTGTTATAAATGAGAGACAAAAGTCTCGATATTCAGCAAAATTTAGATTGCTTTATTTGATACAGAAAGAGCAAGCAGCGCTGGGGAACGTGAGGGGTCACCGCCCACCCCACACTCCACCCAACCTTGGTTTGCAGCCTCTTCTTAGACTGTGGGTTCTCGTTGTTCACAAATTCACAAATAATGTGATAATCAGTCACAGATTGCCACCCGGTCCTTGGAGATGACCACCAGGGAAGTTCTGGACGTCTGGTCTTTGTACATAACCACCAGAGAAATTCTGGGAGTCTGGTTTTTGGGATAGGCAGCATTGATCAGACAAAGGCAGGAAGGGCTTTTTGGGAAGTCCGATCTCGCAAGCTGGTAGCCGATACACCTTATTTGAAAAACATAACATAATATAATGTAACATAATATAACATAATATAACAAGGTGATTTTAAACAGAATTATTTAATCATATAATTTCCTTTATCTAGTGTCCATGCTTCACTTCAGAGCTTAGTATTCTGGTTTATACAAACCCCAATGCTTTTGTGATTATCACAGCAGGGACAGCCCAGCCCATGCCGTGTCCCTGTAACCCAGCCCTAGAGGACACTGCTGACCCGTGGGCTGGGTCAGCTTTCACACAGTGGGGCTTGGGAACAGCTCAAAGGAAATTTTCCTGGGATGAGCATCTCATGCTGCTGTGGCTGGAGCCAGGCTCAGGGACAAGCCAGGCTCAGGGACAAGCCAGGCTCAGGGACAAGCCAGGCTCCTCCACACTATCTCAGCCTGGCACTGCTGTGTTTTATACCGTGGCCAGCCCTTTCTTACCCAGGTGCCTGATGCTTCCTCTTTGCAGGTGTGCTCTTCTTTGTGCTGCAGGTGGGCTTAGCCTGGGTGCACACTCTGCCCTGTGATGCACACAGTTCATCCAAAGGGGTCTGAGGTAGTTAAGCTGGTCACTTCTGGGTTAACTTGGATTGGTTTTGTGCTGCAGATTCAGGAGAAGGATTGGGAAAAGAAAAACATGTGAGTGAATTTTTTGGTAAGCAGTGGTTTCAAGAGGCTGAAGAGAAACTGGCTAATGTGTATTAAGTCCTGTTCCCATTCTCACAGTAAATGGGCAATTTATTTTGAAGCAAATTCACCTTTTCCAGAATAACAAACATTTTATTTTCAGAATAGCATCCACACAAGACACTTGGCTATTTCACTTCTTGTTTACCAATGGTTTGACTCCTTTTTTAAAGTGTGCTCAATAAAGCCCTGCTGACATGAGGTGGTGTGTTCTTGCTTACTAGTTAAGCCTAGCTTGACTAAGTCTGTGCTTCCATTTTTTTCTTTTTTAGAAAGGGTCTGCCATGAAAGGTTTGCAGATTGCTGGTCCAATTCCCACTCATTCTCTGGAGCAGTCTGGGCCTCCCATTGGGAAAAAAGGAACCTCAGCACTGTCAGCTCTGCTGCAGATGGAAGCCAGTCAGAAGTGAGTCTCTGCAGGCTGTGTGAAGAGCCTAGAACATCCTTCCTGCCTATTGCACCTGGGCTGGCTAAAGCACTTTTGGGCAACTTTGCCTCATGTTCTGTTAAATACATAAGAGATAAATATTTTTAATGCTAAATTAGTATTACTCATGCATAATAAAACTGAGTTCAAGGGTCCATGTTGTTTGTGAGGGGTAAAAGGTACTTAAGGAATGTTGGATCTGTGCCTCAGTGTGTGGGAAAGCAAATATCTGAAAATACAGCAGTACCCCTCTGCAACAGTTGCATTTGGTGGGAAGCTGGCACAAAGTATGTTTGAATAAACTCTGCATTCCTTCCTTTTCTTTTTCTTTTAGGACACTGGGGGAGCAGCAAGCAGCCATGCTTTCTGGGAAGAGCTCTGGCCAGCCTTCAGAGAGTGGGAGCATTGCTATCACACCCACCTACATGGACAGCCCTCGGAAGGTAAGGGCTTCCTGGCCTTGCTCTAGCTGCTGTTTCTACATAAGAATTCCTCAAATAATCAAAGATTATTTCTCTGAGCACTTGGTACATCATATCACATCTTACTCTGTAATCCAGTGAGGGCTGCTCCTGTACTGGCCTTTGTGTGCAAGGGCAGAGGAATTCAATTCTCTGAGTGTGACAATGGTATGGAATCCCTGGGATGCCATCTCAGCATTTTGCTGATCTAAAGTGCTGTTTGCTAATCAGTGCATTTCCTTTGCTGGTAGCACATTTAATTTCAGTCATGGCTTGACTATTGGGTGTAGCAGTACAGTGTTGAGTGCATCTGTGTGCAGGCTGTCTTGGAGAGCAGAATCAGCCTCTAGATTGTGACTGTGTGAACACTGAGTGGGATCTTAACAGCAGGAGCTTGAGTCTCTTGCCTCTGTTTAGAGGAGGGGGTGTGTTCCTCAGAAGTGATTTAGATGTCATTCCTTCTGGCTGGACTCCAGGCTGGAGAAGGTGGTCTTCCTGGAGCTCTCTTGAGACACTTAAAGAAAAGACTGTGCTATCTCTCAGCCTTTCTGTCAACTGTCCTGTGAGAGCAGGAACTCCACCTCCCAGTCCAACCAGGAATATTTGATTATTTTTCTGTGTTCTGACAAGGAGGTCTTTCAACAGAAGTAACAAGGAACTGAATAAAGATAGAGGATTTAAATGTGACCTGTCTTTGGTTTCAACAGTTCAAATATTGCAAAGAAGAACTTCTCAGATGCACCACTATCAACCACTTCTTTCAGCGTTTTTCTCTAAGCATCTAACGTTTCAACACAATGTTTTGTGCCACCATCAGGAGCAAGTATTGTATTATCCTGGAGACGTAGATATTTAAAGTTGAAGTAGTAGAACAACTGTGATTACCTTAGTACTTGACACTTACTCATAGTATTAGTGTTTGGAGAGCACAGATGAGAGTCTGGAGTGTGCCAGGCCTGGAAGCAGTAGGTGCTCAAATTGACTTGAGGCGTGTCTGCAGATTTCTACATCATAATTCAAGCTTTGCATGCTTCTCTTCTACCTGATTTTGAAAAATCAGCTTCTCTCTTTAAATACAGAAATCTTAAATGTCCCTTTCTGCCAGTAAAACTGGTGAAAATTCCATGTGAGATACAGGAGAGAAGAATGTTGTGTCCAGTTGTTCTGCATGGCAGAGGGGGGAAAAGGCAAAGTGGGCTTCCCTAGCAGTAGCACAGGAGTGTGCTGGGACCAAATTGGCAGACTTTGTGCTACCAGAAAATGCCATCCTGAGTAATGTTAAAAGTAATGTTCAACAGCCTCTCTGGAAGGCTGACTGGAGACTCTGGAAGAGTCTGTTGTCAATTGAAGGCCTTTCATGCTGCAGCAGTAAACACTCCTGTAAATATTTACACACAGGGACTGGGAGACAAGCAATTGGAATCTCCTAATTGATGGCTCATGCCTGTTGGAAAGATGCCAGTGGGCAGGCAGCATTGTGCTCACTTGGGAGCAGCAGCAAGTGTGTGCCTCGTGTCACAGCCCCTGCAGGGCTCCTCTGCACAGGGAGGTCTGGCTTTCCACACACTTGCAGCCAGAGAACTGATAAATTATCACAGCTGAGGGCTCTGCCAGCAGCCAAGGGAGCAAATGCTTTTCTAAGATGCTCTTCAGTGCTTGAGTTACTCCAGACCAAAACTGAGCCACTGGCTTCACTTGACTTTGTAGAACTGACAAGTCACTTCAGCCAGCTACTGGGCAGCACAGTGTGGTTTTAACCCAGTGAGTTCCCTTGAGCCATGATATCTTTGGGAAGTCTTTGCCTTTATGGATCTGTTTCTGCACTATGAAATTGCCAGTCATGTAACCCTGACATTGATTCTTTCCAGAAAATGTTTTATATGTATGTACCAAGGTAAGCTTCGTCTTAACTGCAGGTTAGACAAAAATATTTTGCCGAGAGAGCAGAATAAAGAATTGCAAATAGGGAATGAAAATCTGGGTGAGTTTCACTGTATTGTCTTATGTGATAAGAGAATCTTGACACATCTTTGAATAGCAGCTGGGGATAAATTCACCAGGGTTTATAAGTAGGCAGGAGCATAGCACATGCAGTGTCTGTTTAATTTTGCATGAAGTATTAAACACAGTGTTAGAAGGATCTTTGTCATTAGTTTTTCTTCCCTTTCCTTTGCACCATACCAGACCTGCATTTAAGAGGAAGAGGGTGCTTCCTGGAAAGAGCTCCTTTGCCTCTCCCACTTTATAATTTGAATGTCCAACAGATTAGAAAAAAACAGTCCTTCTTTGGATATTTGTCATTACACCTGTGGTTTATGTATTTCAGTTTTGTATTTGGGATGGAAGCCCCCATACTTCAGAGCTCAAGACTTTCTCCTTTGAAGTATGGAGGGAAGGCTGCAGTTTCAATTGGCTTCTGATCTGTGTGGGTTTAAAAATGTTGGGAAAGCCAAGGAAGAGCAATGTCTTGTTACAGAGAGAGAAAGTAAAGATGTGTGTGTGAGTAATTCCTGATGCTGTGCATTCTGCTGCATCTGACCTGCTGGGTCTGGGATTTGCATTCTCCTCATACTTTCTCTCTGTGGTCATTTCATACTTGCACAACCTTGTATTTGCTTTTCTTCAACTCCCTGTTCCTGTTGCTGTTGCCATTAATGGGCCTGCTTCCTCTGATGCCTTCAGGATGGGGCCTTCTTTATGGACTTTGTTCGCAGCCCACGCACAGCTTCAACCTTCTACTCCCAGGTTAGTTTGGATTGGGTCGTTGTCATCTCTGCCTTTGGGATTGAGGTGGTGGACAGCATTTATGTCCTGAGCTTGCCATGCTGGGAATCTGTGTTAGCTTCCAGATACTCTCACTGAGAGTGAGATGTCAAGCATTGGCAGGACAAAGTGGCAGGTGCAACCATTTCTTCCACCATTCAATGTTTATACTGTGTTTTGGATGTTCATGTGCCCTGTCTCACTGTCCTTTGCAGTACTGTCTTGACAACTATTAAAGCTGCTCTTTCTGTTTTTCAGTAAGTGCTTGTTTTCCACCTTCCCTCACTGAACAAAATGGCAACAGCTCACTTGTCTGGTTCTTGGCTAAATTTCTTCTGTGGTGTTTGATTGACAGGTGACTCTGGAGATATCCAAGTCAAATTGTGTCCTTGGATTCCTAAACAACTGAGGCTGAAAATACATAATATCATCTTGGTTTAAAAGAGTCCTTGTGACAGAAGTCATTTGTCCACTTAACACCAGTTAGGAATTAGCAGTAACAGTGTGGCCATAGGAAATGCTGCTGCTTGAAGTGAGCCCTGACAAGGGAGAGAGGCTTTTGCTGGCTGTGGGCACTGTAGAGTTGACCCTGAAGCATCTGCTGTTTTTGGCTGCCCAAAAAAGGGGACATCTGCCATTAGAGAATCTTGGGATGTGAGAAATGGCATGAATAAAGGACTCTTGGCTGTCAGACCTAAGTCAAGCTACCAGCTTTGTGATTTTTAGCTGTGTATGTGCTGTGGATTCATCACTGCAGAGCAGCCCCCATATTTACACCAGCTTGAGTTCAAGTTACTCTGCCGTTCGTGTTCTCTCCCCCACCTCTCCAGCTTTTACATAATGTGCCTTTACTAAACCATACGTGTTAATGACAGATGGCAATTACAGCCGGTACTTAGCCGAATCCTTCAGCATTCATGCTCTTTCTGAAATGATTTTATGTTAATTTTGTGAACTATTCAGTCTACCATTGGAATAGTGTGAGTGTTCCTGCGGGAGGAAAGTGTTCCTGTTGTCTTGGCGACATAGGTGTGGGTGGGTGTCAACCAGCCTTCTCATACTGCCCTGAGAAAGGAGGGAAGAGGAGCTGAATTTTTTTTTTTTTTTTGAGCATTATGAAACATGAATTTGTGTGATACATTTGCATATTTTTGAGAGTTAGACTTGAAACTGTATTTGCTAAATGCTTACTACTTTCCCATAGTGATAAAGGCTCCTGTTCTGTGTATTGTGTGCTTATAATCATAGTTATTCACTTGGGTTGAAAATGTCAGGTTTGGACTGGTATTGCTGGTTTGCCAGTAGTTCTCTCAATGCAGTTGTTGCTGGGTTGCTAATCCTCATCTTTATTTGGGTCTGAATTTGTTGTTTGTCAGGAGCTCTGTAGTGATGACAAAATAAGACTGTATTTATCCCTTCTGCATATGCTTGTTGTTGACTTGGGCTGAGGCACGGATGATGTGGGGAGGGGAGAAGATGGGAAATGGATTACATGATGAATTTCATAGAGATGTTGCTGTGTTTACTCCTCCCAGGTCTCTATTGATCAATCAGTTCCTGCAACCTCAGATGGCAGCACCTTGCTACCCTCCGGGCAGGTCCCTGACAGGGGCAGCACCCAGGCCCTGGGGAGCACCCAGAATGCTGCAGAGCTGGGATACAGCACAGCTGGTGCTGCAGAGGGCAGGTAGGAAAGGCACAGCAGTGCTGTACTGCAGAACTGTTCAATTCCAGCCTTCTGGTGTCAGGGAATGGGCACTTAAACAGGAGCCTGGGAACAGGCTGTGCTGTGCCTGTCAGCACGGGCAGGCTCTTGTCACAAGACCTCACTGCAGCATTTCCACGTGCAGAGAGAGTGGTAGTAAAATAAGCCCTGCAACCCAGTTTTCCAGAATTAAATGAACACAAGGCCTGATTTCTCCACCCACAAGAAGGGCTTCATTCTTCAAGAAATGAAGAAGTTCCATTTCTGAAATGTGCTAGTAGGAAACCAGGCTTTGAATTGCCATCTTCTGTCTGTTTTGGCAAGGGCTGGGGGGGCCTGCAGGGCTAATTGAATCAGCTATAGGTTGATGAAATCCAAGAGGTTCTAACCTGGAAGCAAGACACTGGGGAGGAAGCAATGTTGAAAATAAACTTTATTAGCACCTGTTTCCTGTAGTTGTATATTAGAGTAAAAAGAAAATTAGCCAGCTTGAAAACGTTTGCTCTCAATTGCTGCAGAGTACAGCTGGATGTGACATATTGTACATTGGGTCCATATAGCAATGTCCTGGTGACCTCAGGGGGGAAATAATCATCTGATGCTTTTAGTTATCCTTCTTGAGATGAAATAGGAAATAAATGTGGCAAAGTCATTGTTGAGAAGAGAGAGCAATTTTCTTAATGATATTTGAACAAATCTGGCAGCTCCCATCATTTTTGAACGTGTTTCTGTTTACTGCCCAGCTCTCAGCAGTGTTCAACAAGTGCTCTGACTTCCTCCTCCACTTTGGTAGAGATTCTTGAAGCCATGAAACACCCCACGTAAGTTTTTAATATAAATATGCTTAACATCTGATGAGATGTTTAATAAGAGGACATGAGAAGTGGAATCACTCAAAGGAGAGCCCTATGTCAGCTGTTGAAGAGTTTTAAACTTCCTTTTGTTATTCAGTTCCAGACTCTCTAATTAGGAATTTTATAGAAATTGAGATACAAGCAAAGACTTCAATTATTAGAGTCCCAGAACCCTGTCAAATCAAGAATTCCCAGTCACTAAAGGGCTGTCAATGTCAGCTCTTCATCTTGTTACCAAAAGCCAATGAGACATCAGTCCAGGGGCACTGTGCATTTCTTGTTCCTGAATTCTGTCCTCCCCCCTACACTTTTTTTCTTACCCCCAGTGATTTTTGTCTTTGTTACTTAAAAGAGCTCTCAATCAGCCTGTGTTAACACGTGTGACTTCTGTGCTTCAGCACAGGGATCCAGCTGCTCTCTGAACAGAAGGGCCTCTCCCCCTACTGCTTCATCAGTGCCGAAGTTGTGCACTGGCTGGTGAATAATGTGGAAGGGGTGCACACCCAGGCCATGGCCATTGACATAATGCAGGTAAGGAAACTATCCAGGAACATATGGAGGGCCAGGAATACCTCACTCTGTGAAGAAAGTAAAGTTTTAGAGCAAAACATAGCAATAATTTCTGTTACTTATTAAAATCCTCGTATGGATGAGTATTGAAAGCAGTGCTCAACAGAATACTGGGTAATAATGACTTTTTTGGATTCCCTATCACAAAACAGCAACATATTTTTCACTAGTAATACTTTTCTTTCTGCTTACATGATGATGGTTCTGTTTATAACCTCCAATTAGCTGGTACTTACAAAGTGCTCTGCGTTGTGTTGGAATTGAGGCACTGTGCTGTGATTTGGTTTTCCTTTCTGATAATTAGTTAATAAAGTTGTAATGAAAGCAGCATATGACCTTTCTGTTCCAGATGCTGAAGCAGACACGTTTTATGCAGGAACACTGCTTGCATTCATCAAGGGATTTTTCTGTATTGAACTATGTCAGGGGCAGAAGGTTGGAAATGTTCTGGAGTTCATTCCTCTGCTGAGATCCCATATCAATTAACAGAGAACTTTAGAAAGTTTCCAAACTCTTACCTTCTATAAATCCATTTATAAAATGAGAGCAGGGTATGGGAGGAAGACAGACATCCGTGGAAAGGTCAAATGTAATTTCTCAGGGAGATAAGAAATTGCTACATTTACTGAATATCAAGAGATAACTTTGCCAGTATTCTTGTTAGGCACATATCTGGACAAAAAGATGTCAAAGAAAAGAAAATTACTTCCTAATGTTCTCTAGCAACCTTTTTATGTAACTGGAAGAGTGATTTCTTTTTTATCATGTTTGCTCTGTTCTTTCTTTTTCTTGTTCAGAAAATGTTAGAAGAGCAGCTTATTGTCCATGCATCTGGAGAAGCTTTGCGAACCTTCATTTATGGCTTTTATTTTTACAAGATTGTTGTGGACAAAGAACCAGACCGAGGTCAGCATTGTTATTACAAAACTATCCTCACTATCCATTTGCATAATCACTAGGCTGTTCTTGATTCTTAGGGGTGCTGCAGCAGGAATGCATTTTGGGAGCAGCCAAAACCACTGATCTCAAGAGACTCTGAGAAATTCGGCCTTTTTAGTTAAAAAAAAAAAAAAAATCAGATAACAAAGTAATTTTTATCCTGCCTATTTTTCATCAAGAGCTGCTTTTCTGTCTCAATCTTATCCACTTGTTTCTAACTGGACTTGCCCTTTCCCCTTGTGCAGTGGGGCTGCAGCAGCCTGCCATGTGGCACACGGCTGCCATGGACGACTTCTCGGCCTTCCAGAGGAAATGGTTTGAGGTGGCCTTTGTGGCAGAAGAGCTCCTGCACTCGGACATCCCGGCGTTCTTCCTGCCCTGGCTGCCCAGCCGCCCCGCCTCCTATGCAAGTAGGCACAGTTCCTTTAGCCGCAGTTTCGGAGGACGGAGCCAGGCAGCTGCACTCTTAGGTAGATGCACAGCACAGGTGACAGCTGGGGAAGTTCAAGGGGATAGTTTGAAAGGGGAAGAGCAGCCAGCCAAGGGTATGATCTCACGTGGACCAGCAGTAAAGCTGCAAATTTCATGCTGGCCTTAGTGTCTTGCACGTGCACTCGTTCTCATATGCTGGAGGTGTGTTTCACTGGCTCGGCAGGAAACTTTTCTTCAGAGTACTGGAATACAATAAAAAGTATTCCTTAAAATATTCATTCTTCCTGAACCTCTAGAATTTAGGGAGGAAGATACTTTGTCTCCTTGCAAAGCCAGAGAGACTCTGCACAACCTGTAAGGAGTATAGAGGGATACGTTGTGAGAACGGCAAAGCAACCAAACTGTTCTTAAAATTACATATCTGATTGCTTCCTGGGGGCAAACTCCACAGTGAGGTCCAGATGTGTTAGAAGTTTTCTGTGGTGTGCTGGAGGCTTTTTAGCTAATGTGAACCAGACTCCTTACATTAATAAGTCTGTGAAGCCCAGCTGCAGATGATCCCTGTGGTATGGAAGCAATAGGAAGATCTTGCTGCTGGGCAAGATCCCATTAGTATCTAATGTTCTGTAATGTGTGGAGAGTAACACTGACTGCCTCTAGCAGCCCGTGAAACACACTGGCTTCAGGACTGACCCTTTTGCTTTGTCAGCTTCTTGTTGCATTTCCAGGCCAGCCTGAGTCACTTGCTTTTGTTCTTCTTTCCTTGTTTAAGAGAAAAATCATTGCTATGGAACTGCAACTTCAGGTTTATTTAGATGCATCTGTTAAAGGCCTAGCAATTAAGGATAAAAAGAAAAAATTTTGCTGTTCTCCTGTTGTGTATATTTGACCTTCTGAAGAGAAGTGCCTTACTGCTGATGTAGTATCTCTTAAACCTGAAGTCACAGCAATCCTTGTATATTTCTGAGAGCCTTGTTTGAAGAGGAACAGCACCAGAAATGGGAAAGCATTAAGGATAGGAAGTCTGAACTAATGGTTAATTCCCTGAAGTCAACATATGCAGGTTATTTTCCCTGTCACACGATAAATCTGCTGTCCTGGCTGTTATCCAACCTCATTAGCTCGGTGGCTGGCCAGAGCTGAATCCTGAATGTAGGCTGGCATGAAAGTACTGTGGAGGCTGGAGGCACTGGGGCCAGATCCTGTTCATGGTTTGATCTCTTACTCACTATTTAGCCTGAGAGAACCAGTTCACATTCCTCTGTCTGTGCTGTGTTGTGAGCTGAGAAGGCTGAGACTCAGCAGGCCTGCATCCATGGAGATGAGTAGAAGTGTGCCTCAGTTGTCCCCTTCACCTTTCATTTAACACCAGACAGGAAAAGTGACTTCCTGCAGCATGTGGGTATTATACACCTGTGGAGCTCTTCTTTTCCTTTCAGTTGGGATTATGTCCATTTTACTATTTAACTAATTTGCAGCTCTTGAATGAGTGATAAATGCCTTCAGATTGCTCTCATGCAATCTGGATTTTCCAAGAATTATAGTTTCTTGTAGAAAAATTGAATGTGGAAGTGTTTCCTTACAAAGAAACTGGTTTAAATGATGCTTCTGTGCTGTCCCTCTTCTAAACAGTATTCCAAAAAAACTTCAGCAGTTCATCTGAGGTAAAGAGCTTTACTAAACCCAGATGACCCCTGGTCCACGTGACTTCATTTGTTCCTCTCTTGGTCTTGATTAGGTTGTGGTTTTTATTTCTTCCCCTCCCCACCTTCCCTAAATGTCAGGCTGTGCCATAAAATTGCATGCAAGCATTGGGAGCTCTGGAACAAGCTCCATGTATCTCTCAAATCTTTATCCCTCCCAATTTCCCAATCACTTGTCCAGTGGCTGTCCCCTTTCCCTTCCCAGTGGAAGTCTGACCTGTGACACAGCTAATCTTGTCCCTTTGATTTATAGCAATGCATGCACTAGCAACTGTAGTCATGTATGTAGTGGAGTCTGTGACTGGAGAATAACCTGCCTGCTCCTCTCCGATTTGCTTAGTAAACCATTAGTTAAATACTCAATAGTAGAAGAGACAATTGGGAAGCAGGTGAGTCCTCTTAAAGTCTGACCTATAGAAGCCAGAGTATATTGTATTAAAACATGTTGATTTTAATCAGAAGCTTCTGAATTCAGACACGTGGACATTTCTCATCAGTGTTTAATGTATTTTTGATTAGCTCACCTTGTTGGACTGGGTTCCTCTGGCTTTGCCTGTGAGCTGTAGCTGCAGACAAGGCAGAGAGAGACAGTCCAGCCCTAACAGGGAGTCTGCACTCTCTGGGAAAAGCAACAGTCTAAAGGGAGCAGGGAGCTCATTCTTCACAGTGTGCTACTTTGGGCACACTGGGCTGTGGTGTTATCACTGACCTCTTGGCTAATGACCAACACCTACCTGACTGAGCTGCTTTGGTTTCACAGCTTCCAGGATGTTGTTTTCCAACATACTTTGTTACAAATTTGGCACCATAACCTCCTGAGTACAAGTGTTGTATTCACAATACAGAAAAAGAAACTGTCACAATGTTGGTCTGACAATACCAGATCAACTCAGAAATTGCAAATGACACGTTTCCCAAAAACAAAAATGGGTCTTATTATGAAACAAAACTGGGTGATGTTCTTTCATTTTTGTTGTGTTTTTATTTCTCATGTTCTACGCTGCACTAATAGCAATGTAAAGGATCTCCTTATAACCTTGAAAGTGCCTCCAGGTAACTTGCACTATAAGTGAAGGTGGGAACTTTCCATCTATGTTGAGGAAGGATTTCTAAATTATTTTTTTTTAAATACCATCAAGGCATCAAATGATAATTTAAAAGCTGACCCTATAAAGGGGTGCACATCTACTTCAGCAAGAGGTAACAGCACCCATTCCTCATGCATGCAATAATAAAAGGGCAGAAGTTTTCCCATAGAAGCCTTGCAGCCCATTGTTTTCTGTCAATTTTTGACATTACAGAAATATTAAAATATATATCTGTCTAAAGAAAAGTTGGAAGTGATGGTGTGTTTCATAGCAGGACTTTGGTCTCCAAGTCAGGAGCTCTGGGTTCTGTCCCCAGCCTTGCAGTCCTCTGTGTGACACCAGCCAGGTCCCTTCCACTGCTGTGCTTCTCTCCCTCTCCTGCCTGATACCTGAGGGTTTCTGTCACCAGGATGCTGGGCTGTGGGGCACAAAGGCAGCTGGACCTTGGGCACTGTCCCAGCCCTTACTGCAAAGCACTGGGAGCTATTGCAGTGGTCAGAGTGCTGCTGCATGTCTTGGCTGACTGTGCTTTTACAGAAAGTGTTGGATGTGCAGTTTCCACAGTGCGGTAATGTGGGATATTGATACGGGGTTAAAGAAACAAGAAGTTTAACTTCTAATCTCCTTTAGCTGTGGAAAGTCCTGAAATGCTCCTGCCCCATGTAACAGCACCCTGTTGTGATTTCTGGTGGAGGCATATAGAAACATCTGGAATGTTTTGGGCATGAAAAAGCTGGTGTTGTCTAGCCAAGCTTAATTATGGCACCAGTTGCCTGTTGATTAACTGCTGGATTCTTGGTTCTCTCTCCTTATTGCAGCTGAAATGTCTTTTGACTGCTTGGGGAGGTGATTCTGTAGCACATACCCCTGACATGAGAAACACTTCAGGATTTTTTGTCTTTTGTCATCTGGATGAGCGGCATTCTGGGACTATTCTGCTAGCCCAAAAATACCTGGGGAGGAATGGGGGGACAAATTAATTTCAAATTACTTATCTTGGTTCCTCTGTTCCCCTCATCCTGTGTGCCACCTTCTCTTTGATGCCCCTGCTGCACTGTCCCTTGGCTGCCCAGCTGCCACGGTGCCCGAGCAGCGCACGGTGACGCTGGATGTGGATGTGAACAACCGCACGGACCGCCTGGAGTGGTGCAGTTGTTATTACCATGGCAATTTCTCCCTCAACGCTGCCTTTGAAATCAAGTTACACTGGATGGCAGTGACTGCAGCTGTTCTTTTTGAGATGGTGAGATCCTGGTGTTCCGTGACAGCCACAGAAATGCCTGTCTGGCCTCTGTATCCCTTAGACAAATGGGGACATTGTATTAGGAAGTCTTAGGGGGAGAGACAGTGGCTTGCATCTGCCTTTATTTCCATAAGTAATTTTCCTGGTGGTTGTGTTGCTGCATCTGGTCAGCATTTATCACGCCATCTATAGTCATTCTGTCTGCAGGGGTGTGTTCTGCTTTTAGTGGGTTTTATGCACAGTATGTAGAGATCAGCACAGGTCAAGGTGATAAATTTAAGTCCCCCTTAGGCAAATTTTAAGCCCTCAGCCAGGTCTTTGGAAAAAAATCTGTTTCACATTACATTCCTTCTATCCCCAAACCTTAAAACTTTAAATCTCAGTGGAATTGCTTTCATAACAGGGCTTTTCCAGGCAATGTGTTCTTCCTGCTCAGGAATGTTTTAGGGTTTTTTTTAACTTGCTGAAAACATTTTGAATTGAAAGCATGTCAGTTTTTAATTTTTAGATTAAATTTTTAGCTTTAATTTTTAGATTTTTTTGTTTTGCCTAATGTAGCTTCTATAAAACTCGAATTATTTAACACCAGGTTTTACCCCACCCAGCCAGACAGCACTAGGTGGCTGGTTTTGCTTTTATTTAAAATCAATTGCACTGTTCCAGTAAAGCAGAAGTGTTTTGCCACTGGTGATAAGTAGGCTGAATCAGTTCCTGAAAAATGTCCTATTTTAAAGTGCTCTCTGATTGATGGGGCACTTCAGAAAAAGGAAAGCCTGATGTCTTGTGCTTGTACTGCTTTGCTTGCAAGGATGTTGGTGTGCCTGCCGTGCAGAGCAAGCTGAGCCTGTGGAGAATTGAGCATGTCTGATCTATTCTTGGGGAATGAGTTGCTCTCATGCACAGAAGTGCCCTCTGTCAGCTGGCATGTGTGCCATGATTCATTGTTGGAATTTCTTCTCAGGTTCAGGGTTGGCACCGCAAAGCCACGTCCTGTGGGTTCCTGCTGGTCCCAGTCCTGGAGGGCCCCTTTGCTCTGCCCAGTTACCTGTATGGGGACCCCCTGCGAGCTCAGCTCTTCATCCCACTCAACGTCAGCTGCTTGCTGAAGGAGGGCAGTGAGCATTTGTTTGATGGTAAGAAATGCACTTGCATTTACCCTTCAGGATACTTTGTGCAAACAGGTCACTGTTGGCATGTAGCTGACCTAAAGAAGCTCCTTTACCAGCCAGCCTTAGGTGGCTGCAGGAGCTGTTTTTACAGGTCAGCAGCCCCTCAGGAAGGAGGTGCTGGAGGAAGCTGTGCTGGCAGGCTGATTGTGGGCAGCAGGAAGCCCCAAACACAGGAAGGGTGGTCTCCCCACTGATGCTTACCCTGCACACCCTTACAGAGCTCATCTCCTCGCTGTTGGTTTGACAGACTCTTATGTCTGTTTTGCTGGTAGACCTACAGCTGCTCTGCATTTGTATCCTGCATTTGTTTATTCTCCCCCTCCCTAAGATGGGGCTTTCACCACTGCCATCCTTCTTTTGTTGTTGCTATGGTTACTTTAATGGTAAGTGTTTGCACATGAGATTAAGCAGAGAAACTGCAATCTCCTTTTCTGCAATGTGACCTCGCCCTTTCCAGTGAGCCTGTTGTGATAAACCTCAGGTGAAACCCCAAGACCAGAGACCTGTCCCCATGCAGAGAAGGGTAAAATTCCATCATGACAAGTGACAATTAGCAAAAGGCTCTGTTTTAAAATAGTAAATACGATATTTTCATTAACCCCTGACTCAGTGTCCAGGTGTAGCTGTACAATGAATGTGACAAATCCATATGCTGTGAGGTCACCATAGTCCAACTGACTGAATTAAACCTTTTCAGAGCACTCTTGTGATACACAGCAGCCCACTCTTCTTCCTTGCCCCCTCCCACACCCCCCCTTTATGTTCCTCTCCTTCATCTCAAGAGATACAAATAATAAATTCAGGAATGAGTCTGCTACCAGAGTGTACAAGACAGCTGACAAAAAATGTGACTGAAAGAAATGGCTAGGGAAAGAAAAGAGTGCACAGAGGCTTTCTGAGAACAACTAAAGTCTTGAAGAGGAAGAGAATAAGTAGCTTTACTAGATAATTGTTACCTTTTTGCTTATTTCAGGCTTTGAACCAGAAACATACTGGGACCGAATGCATCTGCTCCAGGAAGCAATAGCACACAGGTGTGTCTGCAGTGCAGTGGGGTGACCAAACAGTTCCTGTCTCCCTGGACAATGTGGGATGGCCTGTGCTGAACCCTGAGTCACCTGGGCTCTGTTCTGTCTGCCTCTCTGAAGTCTGCTTTCAGACTGTTAGACTAAAACACAGCCTCCATGCCCAGAGGTGGTTCTGTGGGTGCTTGTCACTCCTTAGGAGCCATACTGTCCTCCCAGGGAGAGCCTTGCCTTTGGAAAGTGCCCGTTATTCTAAGTTAGAAGCAGAAAGTCTGTAAATAGATTCTTCCTGAGAAGACACAGTTACTTCCTCCTTGTCTATTTAGCACAGTCTTGAACTGGATGACACCTGAAGATTGACAATAGGCAGGAGACTGGGGTGGGAGCTATTCAGAGGAGGTTGGGCCCAGTTTAAGAAGGAATTGTTGGAAGCTTTAGATACTATTTAGCCTTATCCCTTTGTGTGACTGAGCTGCCAGTTTCTTTCATGGTGTTGCTGCCAAGGTTTTTTCAATGACAGAAAGGGCTGCCTTTTGTAATGGACTTTAGCTTAGAAATCAGCTTTCATTAGTTTAGAAAACAGGAGAGGAACAAGTATCCTACAAACAGAGAAGTGCCAGGTAAGCTGCTTGAAGTTCTGCATGCAACATGGCACACCATGACAATAATAATGTTGCAGCTTGAAACGTGCCCCGGGAATGTCTGTCTTGACTATTGCTCTTCCCTCCCTTGTGTGCAGCTGCCCCATTTTGTCACAGACTGCTTAGAGCTGCTGCTCTTGTTTCCAGCTCGAGTCAGGACAGGCCTGAGCAGTGTGGGGTGACAGGCCTGAGCAGTGTGGGATGGCAGGCTTTCACACTGTATCTGGCAGGGACAGAGAATATTCGGAGAGGTCAGCTCAGCTCTCTTCATCCCTTTTCCTTTTGCCTTCAGGCCGTAAGAAAGGGATAGTGGAAGGATTTCTTCTGGTGCCCCTGCCTCTGGCTGAGGAATCCTACCTGGAGTGGCTCTTTTTATCTTTTTGTTTTCTTTTCTTTTTAAATTCCCCTTGTCTCTGTTTCTTCAGATTTGGATTTGTACAAGATAAATATTCAGCATCTGCATTCAACTTCCCAGCAGAAAATAAGCCCCAGTATATCCATGTCACAGGTGAGCAATATTTGGGAGGCTCTGGCAAGGAGGAGGTTATCATAAACAAGAGAACCATTTTACATGTGGTTTGAGTTTCGTGTCAGTGATGTTGATGCTGTTCTGTCCCTAACCAGACGACAAGTAGGTGTGTCAGACAACACAAACCAGAAAACTGGAGAGGGCAGTATGAAAAGCACAAAGCGTTGCTGCTAATAAATGGTGTTGGTTTGAAATCTTGCTTTACAGGGCTCTGAAACTTTTCTTTCCAGAAGATGAGGAAATTTAAAAAAATAAGGCAAAGCTTATTCCAAGGTCAATGTAAATAAACGTTACAATGTAAATGTCAGAAGCTAGAAGGAGGGAAAGGTGTTGGGACAAGCCAGTGCTCTGTTCTCATACTTAAGATCTGTTGTAGATGCATCTCTACCCATCCACACTTAGGAGATAGATCAAGCATTTAGGGTCCACTTGCTGAGACATGAAAACAGTGACAGGAAGGCAGTGTTTGGAAGATTGCAGAAGAGAATGGGAATTGATGGAAAGATGGATTAAAGCCTACATCTTTGCTTCATTCTGTGCTTGTAAGGGAAAGGCAAAGTGCACTCCCTCCCAGTGGTGTAGCATACAGGAAGAAGCACCTAAGAACCACGAGGGAAAATGTAACCCATTTTCTCTTGCTAAAAGGCAATTAAATGAAACTCAGGCCAGCTTCCTTTCAGAATTTAATGAGACAGCCACCAGTAGTGGGGAGTTAGGTGTCTCAGACTGAAGTGCTGTCCGTTTCCTGCAGGGACGGTGTTTTTGCAGCTGCCATATTCCAAGAGGAAATTTTCCAGCGGGCAGCAGCGGCGCCGGCGCAACTCCACCAGCTCCAGCAACCAGAACATGTTCTGTGAGGAGCGCATTGGCTACAACTGGGCCTACAACACCATGCTGACCAAAACGTGGCGCTCCAGCGCCACTGGTGATGAGAAGTTCGCAGACCGGCTGCTGAAAGACTTCACAGACTTCTGCTGGAACAAGGACAGCCGGCTCGTGATGTTCTGGACTGATTGTCTGGACAAGATGCATGCTAGTGCTCCCTGAATAGGGTTGTATCTCTTAGGGAGACAGCTAGAAGCTTTACCTTGTGGCAAGGAAGTAGAAGTGAAGAGTCTCTCTCTTCACTTGGAGATTGGATTCATATTGAGGCTCCAAGAGGACCTGAGTGATATTGCTGTTGATATTCAACAGGGTTTGATTAAGTGCTTGGAAAAAAAAGAATTTGAGCTCTTGGCTTGCTGGTATCTATCACCTGACCTCAGCTTGGTTTCAAGTAGCTACAGTCCTTGATTGCCAAAACTTCAGTTAGAGCAGAGGTAAAGGAGAGAGAGTGCAAATGGTTTTCAAGGGCGGTTGGATTCAGCACAGTGTGATGGTATCAGCTTCCCCTCACTGGGAATGATGAGTGCCCTTGGCTTCTGAATGTGCCTGGCAGCAGTCTGCCCCTTCCAAGGTGTACCTGATTGTGTGAATATGTACGATAAGACGTGAGAGATGCTTGTTAAGTTTTCATACATGTAAATAAGTAAAATGCAGAAAATGAAGTGACCTGATGTTTTGTTGTAACTCCACAGACAGCAATGAAGAATTGGTGAGTAAAAGAAAGCAACTGCCAAAAGAAAATACTGCTTTCTATGTTCAGCTCAAAGTTCAGTGCTGGAGCTTTGTCTTGTAATCGTGCAGGATTTTCTGTCTTCATGTCTGGATCTAGAGCAGTGTCACACAGCAAGAGCAGGAAGCCAGTTACTGTTGCAAGGCCAGCACCAAAGCCTAAGGAGAAATCAAGGATCACTGAACACAAGTTACTGCTGAGGGTTATGGTTTTTAGAATGTGTTTGTGTGCCTCAGGAGGAAGCTGCCGGCACTCGAGGATGTAGCATTTGTCTTTTCGGGGCCTTGGCACGAGTTGGTTATTTAAGAGCAGGTTTCGAGTGACTGGGGACGGTGGGCTCCTGCTGCGAGGTGGCTCCTCGTTGTTACACGTCCTCGAGAAAGTGGAGTCAGAGGAGGACTGACACCTTCTCAGTGGTGTTCAGATCTGATTCAAGGCAAATCATAGCTGCTTCAGTTTTTTAATCCCTTAGACTGAGTCAGAATGATTAAACTGTTTTTAGACAGCACCCACCTCTAGCAGGTGGGTTTAAGCTGTGTGCCTCTTCATTCAGTCGCTGTAAGCGTGTCAAAATTATCAGTGCTTGTCTGATCCCCATTAGCGACTTAAAAATACTCTACTATGGAAGGAACTCTATTCTATACCATTGCACATCCATTCTGCACTGTGCCCGGGGTGGGGGTGGAGTGCAGGAGCAGCCTGGGAGCGCCGCCAGGGCGGGGTCTGTAGCCCGACGGCGGCTCCGCTGCTGACCCCGCCGTGCCCCCGGACAGCTTCCTGCGGAGGCCACGGGGCTGCCGCGTGTCCCTGCGCCTCGCAGCTACTTCACAGCCATTTCACAGCCATTTCACAGCCATTTCACAGCCATTTCACAGCCATTTCACAGCTTTTCCCCGCTTTGCCCGGCGGGGCTGGAGCTGGCCCGAGGGTGCGCTGTCCTGCGGGGAATCGAGCCGGCGTCCTTCTCCCAGGAAAACGGGTGAGAAACAGCCCCGACGAGGGCTTTACATGTGACAGTAACTGCGGGCTGCCCGGGCATGCCGCGTGCCATTTTGGAGACATTTCACCAAATTAATTTCGCCTGAATGTCTCTGGATTTAATGTTTCGATAGTTTTAACCTGTAAGCAGTGGATGTAAAACCCTAGAGTTAGTCTCTGAGTTTCGGGGAAAGTTTAATATGTCTTTCTGAGCTCAATTTTCTCAACTGCAAACCTAGTGTGTCTTTAGGTTTTCACGGCTGTTTTCGGCCTAGCCTTATTTTAAGCATTTTGAGTTCCTTAGGCTGCTTTTAACAGCACAGTGAATTTACTTACTTAAAAAAAAAAAGAAAAAGAAAAGAAAAGCATACCATAGAAGCTAAAAATAGGAGATAAAGAGTTTTTATCTAACCACAACTTCGTGCCTTGCATAGAAAAAGCTTCCAACAGGACATGATGATGAACAAGTTCATGGCCATGTTAAAGAAGAATGAAAATGAGCATCCCCCACCCACCAAGCTGTTGAATCAAGCAGAACAGCTTTGCCGGGAGCTCGAGAGCTCGTCTCCTAGTCTGAAGAAGCTGGTTGAAGCCATGATGGAATGCCAGAACAAGAGATATTTTCTCACTAACATCCATGTTGTCCGAGCCTGTGTGTCTGTTCATATCCATAAAGGGCAATATGATGCAGCCTGCAGACTCCTGGAGGTAGGGATGTGTCCTTCAGTTCTTCAGGGAAATAAAAAGCCATGTTAGAAAAACAGTAGTTAGAGCTGTTAGTGCAGAAGTACCTCAACTGCAGCACATGGAACACTTCCAGCTTGTGTAAGACAGTGGAAGGTGATAGATGTGCATTGGTGACCTGAAACACAGGACAAAGCCTTTGCTACAGGCACTTAGAGTTAATCAGCCACAGGGAAAAAGTTAACTGGGTGATTATGGGGTTGGTTGTAGCAGGATTTTTGTTTTATTGTGGTGGTTCTTGGAGTTTTTCACAGTCTTGGGGCTCAGGACATAAAAGTGTTGGGAAGCCCAGGATTAGGTGGCTTGGTAGGGTGGGAGTATATGAGGAAGGCTGGATGGTGTCAGTCAAGGTGAGGGATTTTTTTGGCCTTCTAGATCTGGTTATGTAGACCTTTTCACCAGGGGAAAAGTAGGAATTGTGTAACTCCCTGTGTACATGAGAGAAGGCACAGCGAGCCACATGCCAAGATAATGCTACTAGCTCTGTCAAACTAGTAGGAACCCCTGAGGAAATTTCTGTTGAGGATTTTCTCCATTATACACAGTCTGAATGACTCTCTGGGAGGGTTTGCTTATGCACAGTTTTGTTTTAGTACTGCAAAGCAGAAGAGAAGGAAGAACTGGTGCAGCTTTGGCATGAGATTCACTACCAGAGGGTTATGGAGAAACACCAGACAGATGTTCTGACACCATTGCAGAAATTCCGCTGCAGGAAGAGGTACTGCATCGTGGGGAAACAAAAGAGTTTTTCACTCTGTAGTTTGCAGCTGCAGGGGCTGGTTTGACACCTCAAGATGCTCCTTCTTGGAGTTTGGTTTTTCTTGGTATTTTAACCACTTGTGACAATGTGAGAAAATTCCTATGAATGTGAGTTATTCCTTTTGGGTCCTTTTTAATCCCATTTTCTCCTGTGCACAGGAATCCTCCACCTATTTCCCTTTGTCCTGAAGGTTTGAAGAATCGAAACTATTCAGAAAAAGTACGCCAGCACCTGTACAGGTTTGCTGCAGAGGTGACAGCAAATCCAGACAAGAAACAGCGGGTAGGGATGTGCTAGGGACACTTCCAATCAAGTCTCTTGGTCACAGAAAAGCAGGACACTGTGATCAGGAGGCTATACCTGGTTTAATTTCTAAATCCTTGTTTTCAGAAGGCTCCTTGGGGCTGGGATTCCTCATATTTGATCTTTCCCTAAAGGTTTCTTTTAAAAATCATCAGGTTCATGCTAAGTAATTTCTCTTGCTGTGGACAAAAATTTGAGGGACAATAAATTCTTCACTGTGTTTTTAACAGTTCTAATTTTCTAGTACTTGAGCATAGGCAGCCAGACAGCCATCACTCAGCAGAGCTCTATTACAATGATAAATAGTTCTGACTTGACTGAGTAACACCCTATATAAAATTGCAGTTTGTTTACCAGAACATATTTTGTGCTGAATTTTCAAATGCTGGTAATTTGATGTGATAACATCATATGCGTGGATCTACCTTCTTTGGACAGGGACAGATGTGTAATGGAAGAGATGTGTGAATTAAATCAATAAGCACTGGTGATCACCACCTTGCCAGGTGAAGGCTTCAGACTTCAATGTCTGTCTCTGTGAAGCTGTCATTCTGTGAGAAGAGCAAGCTTTGGTGAGGGCATTATCTCATGAGCAGTATAGAATAGCAGTGGCTTCCTGAGCAAACAAATTGTCTGGAAGTGCAGGGTGGAATTTGTGTTTTCTATCAACTCTGAGTTTATAAAAATCTCCTCAATTGGGTCCATATAGGCCTGTTGGAGACCTAGTGAGTAAATGTCTCTGGCTTTGGAAGGTCTTTTGCTGGACTGCTTTTGGAACTGAAGAGAAATGCCTGATCATTTGGATGTGATTTTTTTTTTTCCCCTTGATTTCTCCCTGTGCCTGGGTTTGCAGGAGAGATTGGCTCAGGACATGAACCTGCAGCCAACTCAGGTCTATAATTGGTTTGCAAATTATCGACGACGTCAAAAATCTCACCGCCTTGATAAGGAAGAGCTCAACAATTCATGTCCTGAGAGGGCTTTGGCTTCCCAAACAGATGAGCCACAGGATAAAGAATCCAACACTCCACAAACTGCAGGTTTGTCTCTTCCTAATGGGTTCAGGATGTGGTCCAGAGAGGTGAAAATCAATTTTAAATTCCCTCAGGAAGGGAAGGATATTGCTTCAGAACAGCATTATGTGCTGATGGATCAAGTGGATTCTAGAGGACTCTGCTTCTGTGGAGTGCTTCATTGTTTGGCTCCAGGCCTTCACTCCAGAGGAGCAGACACTGCTAAGGCCTTGTGCAATTGCAGGTGAAAAGAAATGCCTGGCTTTAAAGAGGCACCAAATGAAAGCAAATACATTGGAAGAAGCAGGTTTTATCTCTCAGATTCTGGAATCAGGGCAGTGTACTCCAGGAGAACTCAGTATTTCCATGTCCTTCCACAGACACACAACCAAACCTCAGTCCCAGGGAACACAGGGGTCTTGCTGCATGTGGCAGATTGGACTTGTTTTGTAGCCTTTTGGAGTAATCGTTAGCACTGTTTCACCTGCACGTTTCAGATGGATCTCATGTGGGCATCAGCCCTGAGCAAACGGAGACAACCCCCATGCCCTGTGAGCCAGGATGGGAGCAGTCAGCTGCACCTCTGTATAAGCTTCCTGAAGGAACATATTTAAAGATGCTGGAATCCAGGTGATGTATGGCATCTTTACAGTGACCATTCAGAAATGAAGCAACATTTAAATGTATTCATGGAACAACTCGGTTCTGTGGGGACATCACTTACAGGCCTTGCCACCATTGATGGAAATGTTCCATGTCCAGTCAGAGCAGTTCCTCTCCCAGCTGTGATGGGCAGGATTCAGAGCTTTAGCTGGGGGGGTCTCCTTTTGGCAAAGCAAAATGTCTGGCTGATTCATTTTCTCCATCATTGCAGCTGTGTGCAGAGCCCTCAGCTGTATGAAGCTGGAACAAACATGACTTTGTTCAACCCTCCCAGCACTGAACAACCTGTACCTCTTGGCACTGAGGCTGTGGTGGAAGCAGGAACCTGCTTTCCCTCCCGTGTGCTGCTGCCTGGAGAAGCAGTGATCAGGGCTGCTGCCAGCCCCTGGCAACGGAGCTTTGTCCTGCACCCTTACGAGTCCCATCCCTTCCCGAATTATTGGCTGCCCACGTGGTTGCCCCCTTACAGCACCAGAGAAGTCTCTGGCTCCGTGGGGACCCCAGGTGTAGAAGGTTAGTAAAAGTACACTCAGATTGTTGACTCTAAGGCTTTCCAAGCTTCTCTTCCCATTGTTGTAAACACTCTTGCTCTCTTGTGTCCTGATGAAGGAGAGCAGGCCTATTTTGAGCTTTGGAGTTTTACTTCCATGGTAGTTCAGTAAGAAAATCTGTTGATTTAAGGTGTCGAAACAGATGTTCTTACCTACTCTTTTGCCTAAACTGTAACCACTTCCATAAGTGGTTATATAAGTGGTGAATTCCTTTTAGTGTTTCCACTGAGAGAGTTCCTCCAGGTGTTGTCTGCTCACCTTGTCCTTTTGCAAGCTTCTGGGATTTTAATGCCTGTCATCATTAAGATATTGCCTGAAAAAAGTCTGGGAACTTCTTAACTGTGACGTGGTGCTTCTCTTCAAGCACATGTTCTCACCTTCCTTTCTCCCTCTTGCTATTTTTTCTCTCTTGCTTTTTGTCTTCTTCCTGTCCAGTCTTGTTCAGCATTCCCACCATCTATTTTCTTCTCCCTGTTCTTCAGAATAGGCTTGATAGGATGCATAAGTGATGTTCACTTGCTTTTGCCATAGATCTGTAGAGCAGGAAGGGCTATAACTTCACTCAGGCTCTGGTGAATATGGAGCAAGGAGAGAAGGAATAGCTAGGTCAGAGGTTGGGGCCATGTTATCTGTATCTGTACTTGTGTTTAATACAAGCATTTATTTCAGCAGGTGTCAGAGTTCCCTTGAGCACAGTTCCTCAAGGTGTCTGTGTTGAAGCCAGCTCAGAAAGAATCATTCAGCAGTCAGATTTACAGGATGAAAGCTTAATCCTTAGAGGAGGACAGCTAGGGACCCTGGAATCTGTTCCCCACAGGTAAAGGGAGGGAAAGCACAGGACTGCCCAAAGGCAGCAATAAAAATAATGCTGTGAGTCCAGCCATGTCTTGATACCCTGTTGAAGAGAGAAATAGTGACACATTCCCATGGACCCAGTATTTATCTCTCTGCAGAGGTAATGTTGTCCAAGTGCATGTGTGTGACACAAAGGAGATTTGGAAGTAGCCTAATTAGAAAATATATGACCCCCTGGTTTTTAGGCAGGTTCAGTTTCTGAACTATTTGCATGGTTTTGGCAGAAAAGCATAACCTGTACTGATCCAGCAAGGGCTGGTTCTGTGGGCTGGGCTGGTAGGGCCTGTACTTAATCCTAAAATAGTTTTTGTAGCTTCACAACCTCATGACAAGATTATTCCATAGTGCAAGCTTTCCAAATTGGAAGATGGAAAGACAGGCACTGTTCTCTCTTTCTGTTTTCCACATATAACAAAGGTTTCAGATTTCAGATTTTCTCTGGGAATTGACATAAATTCAGAGAATGCAAAACAACAAAAATTCGTGCCATTTTCCATATGTTATACAACTTCCATAATGTTACATAAAAATAAATACTGCCAGACATTATGGGCTTTCTTTAATTTACTGATCTGCAAGACAGACCAGGAGCAGCAGCCTCATTTTCTAACCCTTCTGCTTGACACTGGCCAGCGTTTGTGCCAGCATGACACTGTCAGTATGTCCAAAAGGCAGGTAGAAGAAGCTTTATTCCCACTTTAAAAATGAGGAAGCAGAGGCACAGAAGGGTTTGTGGCTTGTTAAACAGCAAGTAAGTGCAGTGATTCACTGGAGATAAAGATTGGTGAGCCTTTGGCCCCAGTTCCCAGCTGAAAACATTTCTGCCTTTTACCCCTGTTTCCCACTTGGCCTGGTGCCTTGTTCACACTCATGTCAGACTCCTTGCTCTGAATTACTGGGGAGAACCCAGGTCAGGCATTGTAAACCTCAGGCTGTGTTTCAGGATTCACAGTTTTAAACAGCGACTAAAGATCATGAAAGATCAGCAAGGCTTGCTGGCAATATTTTGGCTGGATTTAAAATTGCATGTTCTGACTCTGGAGTGAGCTCATGTTTATTTTAAAATGTGTTCTGCCAGTAGAAGAAATCTCTGGTGAATATCTCCTTGCTGGGTATGTCAGTGTGCCAGGCATCCACACATCCTTTATCATATTCCTGTGAGGGGCAGGACTTGCTTTATTGGCACCTTTTTGGTGAGGACATAGTTATTTGAACTCTATTTGTAAACCCTGTTTAGTGGCCTGGTCCAGTTCCCCCCAAGACCTTGATCTCAAAATTCCATGAATGCTATGGAACACAAATCTTTTTCAGAGGTGAGTGATGCTTAGGTTGTAATTTCAGCAATTTCATTTTGCAGTTTCTCTCTAGGGAGCCAGGAGAGCTCTTGTGGGTAATCTTGGGTAAGATCACTGCACAGTCAGTGAGGATCACCTGTGTATGAGGCAGAGCCCTCTAACAGAGTCAGAGATCAGAGAAGAGGATTGTTAGCACAGCACTCCTGAGCAGTCATGATGCAATGAGCATCACTCCTCTGGGGACTCATGGGGGCAACACATCAAACTGTAAGGGAAATGAGTGTTGCTGTCCTGGAAGGACAGGGCAGTGGCATTATCCCAGTTATAGAGGTAAGAGTAACACAAAGAGAAGGAAACTATTTAGCCAGGATCACTTATCTGCAGTGAACTCAGGCTATGCTCTCCTTGCTTCCTGAGCACTGAGATAGAGCTACAAGTCAGCCCAAGGGCCCTTAATCTGCTTGTCTCATTTTTAAAGATGCTCACCTGGAAAGGACACAGCCTCAAAGCTTATCAGAACAATTCCTCTTGATTTCTTTCATGGGCTTTTTACAGCCACTCCTACACACTTGGGCTGTGTCCAAGCCTCTTCTGATCTACAGGGCTGTGAGGTGGGAGTGTGAGAGGGAACCAGGCTGGGAGCTGACTGTCTCCATCTGCTTCTGCTGCCTGAGAGGGGGGTTTGATCCAGCAAGCGGACTGGAAGTCCCTGTGGGACATCAAACAGATGCTCCCCTTTTACAGGATAAGTGGTGATGTATCCTCTTCACTCTGCAAGTCAGGACAGGTGGAATGTAGCCCAGTTAATGGTTCTTGCATAGTGGAAATCTTGTGCCTTCCATTGCAGAAAGAAAAGCACACTGAGCTCTATGGAGCAAGGCATTCTGCATTTATGAGCCAGCATATTGATTTATAAAATGTCAGTGCTGAGATGTTCATGGGAGCTTACAGCTTCTGCCTGCATTTCTGGGATTCCAGCTCAGAGTGCTGGGAATCCATCTGCTCTTAGGCTCTCCCCTCTGGACAGCCCAGCATCCTGACACCAGCGGGCAGCAAGTCCCAAGCCCACCAACAGAGGCCACTTTTTGGCAATGTTGCATAACTGAATTGCAGAACTAGTTGCTAAGGGCACCGTGCATGTCGGTGTAAGTGGGCTGTGGAAAAGCATGAGACAAATTCTTGAGAGGGTGGGAGAGGGATTTGAGCCCATTTGTCATTAGGAAATGTGACTCTCTGAATGCAGCCTCCAGCAGAAGAGTCCCAAGGCTGGTTACTGGAAACTGGGGAGCATTCCAAGGAAGGGCAACTTGGTCTATTGGTTCTACTTTTTTCCTGTACTCTGCTAGTGGGCACCTCTTGTCTGGGCCTGTGTGGACACTCACACCTTGAGCTGTTCCTGGTGGTGGTATGGGCAGTGTTGTTGCATTAGAGAGACTTGAGTTGGTGATGATGGGAGAGTAGAGATGGTGATGAGAGAGAACATCCCATTCTTGAGTACCCAGTGTCTGCTACTTGACCCAGTGCCCACAGACTGATTGTTTTGAGAGGCTGGCAGAGCCTCCAGGGGGCTGTGGATAGGGCAGCCGTGTCCCCAGACTCCACTGGTGGCCTTGGAAAGCTGTAGCAGAAGCATAGCCAATGTTGTGTCTATGTCTAAAGCCACATATTTTGACTCTTAAGGCCTCTGCTTTTAAAACATGTTCCAGGAGTGAGACATTTGGGTAGACACCTCGTTGTTTATGGAGAGTATTTTGGGGCAGAAGGAAAGCTGCAAATGGAGATGTGATTCCCTGTATGCTGCTCCTGGTCAGGGCAGTCTTCCCACTGCAGAGCCTGTATTTTCAGGCCATAACAATGTTGAGAAATGGGGCAGGTGTGTAGATAACTTAACAGAACTCTATCAAATGAATAGTCTTGCCAACAGCCCCTCTTGTCCTGCTGCAAAACATTACAGTAAGTGGCAAATAGAGCATAAATACAAATGCACTTGTACATAATATTTTTTTCCCAGTTCTTCTCAGACTGTGTTTGACAAGCCTCAGTGCCCACCTGTTTCTGCACCCTGTGTGGAAGAAAGCCAAGCCTTGGGACAAGGCCAGGTAAGAACACACCTAAAGTTCAGAGAAAGGAGCTCTGTGCACACAATCCCCTGCAGCTCTCTCAGAGGAGATGTGAAATCTCATATCATATTTAGTATGAAACATGTTTGATTTAAGCATTACTTCTGGAGTCCAGTTCAGGGCAAGCTGGGCATTCCCTGGGTAACATCCAGGAGACAGTAGAAGGAAAAGTGGTTTTGTTGACTTTTTCCTACTTGAATTGCTAATCAGACTCTAATTTTACTAAATGTGCCATTGAAATAGTGGCCAAAGGATCCTGTGCAGATCCAAAGTATAATTTAAATTTTCAGCTATGGAGGGCTCACCTATAGAGCAATCACACAAAGATGGCTGCTTGAGGCCCTCCCCTCAAAGCTGTTTTGCACAATTTGACTCTGTTCTCTCGGACTTCTTAAAATGTTTAATGTAGTTTTCATTTGTAAGTCTGTGTTATTGTGGAGGAAAAGGGATTTTGCCCTGTTCAGAGATGGCTGATAGCAGTATACAGAGCAGTGTGATTATTGGCCAGGATAAAGAAAGTGGCTCCATGCTGTGGGTGCAGTCTGCGTCCTTCTGATGGGGACTTCAAGGCAGTACAGAATACAAGTTAGAAATCTTGTTCTTTCAAGGGGATGGGAGCACGTCTCTGAATTGTCACCTAAAAACAGAAAAAAAAAGAAAGTCAAGAAAGCCCTATCTAAGCTGTACATTGATGTATTTTTTGGCTTCACGTGTGTTGGTCTAACAGTCAGCATCCATTGCTGTTTCCCTTGCAGTGTGAGCTGCGGGGGAAAACCTTCTCCAAGGAGATTACAAAAAGCAGGACCCATATCTGCTGGCCTCATTATGAGAAGTGGCTGCAGCTCTGAGGGCAGTAACAGAACCTCTTTTGAGCCTCTGAAAGCATCAATATAAAGATCTGTATCTTGGAAAGTGGCCTTTTTACCAGCCATAATGCAAGCCAGATGAGAAGGAAAGCTTTGGGCATTAATAATGAATGAACCTTTTCTAAGATTCCCGGAGCAGGCCGTCTCTAGCTAGTTTTCATCTTGCTGTTCTGCATCCTTGCACTGATTTTGCAGTGGTGAAGAAACATGATACTCAATACACTGTGGGCTGGGGAGCAAAATCCTGAGTGATGCTTGTAGATGTCAAACAGGACATCTTCAAATTTTTGTAATAATTACTCAGTTCAGGAATTCAGAAAAGCAGTTTTTGCGTATTTTAGTGTGTGCTCTAGGAAAAGAAAGAGCTTGAACGGGTAAATGATTTTACAGCATTCTACAGACTTCCTGGGCACTTCTCTTCTTGCTGAATCAACTTACTCTGGGCTCGTGGCAAGAATATTTGGTTCCTGTGCCTGAATGACAGAGGTGCAGATGGAAACTTTCTTTTGTCCACATGACAATAGAACCAAAATGAGAGTAAAGTGAAAGCAAAGAAACAAAGAAAATTTTAATTCATTTTGGAGATATTTCTTTTGCTGCTGTCTGCCCAAAGGAGCTCTTCCACTATAAGCAACTGTGTTTAAAGTCATATCCAGTGAGGCTGTGGGTCCTTCCTGTGTCTTTCAGGTCCCGGAGGATCCCGTTGTTGACTCAGTAATCGACGACATGTTCCAGGCAGCGTGCCTGCTCTGTGAGCTTTCTGCCAGTGGATAGATGTGACCTGCCTGCAGATACACTCCACGTGTCTGTGCTTCCCTGGGAAACACCCCATTGCTTCCTTTCTTGGAGTCTGACAGGGAGATAAACAGAGGGAGGGAGGAAGATGGAGGTGCTTTCAATGGTTACAAAGTTTGGTTTAGTTACAGTTTTATTCAGAATTTTGCGAAGGATAGAAGAAAGGTGTACTATGGACTGGAGGTTTTTCCTGGAGCTGTCTGAAGCTGCACTGTAGATGTTAAAATTATCAAGGCAGTAACACAGTTCTAATGGTTCTGTGGCAGTAATATAGATCTAATCATAGCACTGGCCAGATCCGAGTCCTTGGTTGCATCATGAAGGTAAATGAAGCTCCTGTGCTCAAAGGAGTAAAATCTGGTTACATTGCCTTGCAGTGGATATTGGATAACCTTTTCTCAGGCTTGGAAAATAAGGTGTCAGCTAAGTGCTGGTAAAATACTGCTATTTCTTATCCCTGCCTACCTGTTGTACTGCAGGGTGTAGCTTCTGGAGTGCTCCGTACTCTGTAGTGCCACAGGTGACACAAACTGAGCACAGCAGAATTTTCAGTGCTAGGGCATGCCAGTGCTTTGCTTTGGTGCTTAATACAAGAAGTAGCAAGGCAGGCCCTTCATGCAGATTTAAAACCAATCCTAGTTATAGGGTGAGGTTTTGGATATTTTCCTGAAATGTTAACTGTTTTTAAAAAAATCTGTATCTCAAAACGGGTCCCCTTTGCCAAACCTCCAGCCCAGACATACAGGGAGAAGATGCCTCCCATACCTTTTGTTACAAAGTTTTCAAGTAAAGATTTTCACTTATTGTTTCTCCAGGGTTCAGTTTTTTTCAAAGTAAGGATATGAAGTGATTATTTTCACATGGCAATTATGTATTAAAAGTCAGGACCAGCTCCCCTGGGAACACTTGTGGGCGCTGAGAGCCTGCAGCCTCCATTATTTTGGTGGGTCAGGAATGCCCCTTTCTTGTTTGTGTTTGGAACAGCGGTGCTTGGAGAGGTCCCACAGGTTATCGTTTATTGCCGTCAACAGCGGGGCCGTGAGGGAATCGGGGCATTTCTACCGGGGGGAAAGAAGCGGGGCTCGTAGGGCTCGCACGAGCACCGTGAGGGACCAGCCCGCCCCGCCCGGCCCTGCCCTCACAGCCGCGGCCACCGCCCGCCCACTCTGCTCCGCTCGGGGCCGTTCCCGCCGCCCGTCGCCGCCTCCCCATTGGCCCGAGCGCCGCCCGCCGCCGCTTCCCCATTGGTCCGCGGCCGCCGGCAACAGCGACAGATATATCCTGCCGCGCTCTGATTGGCTGTCGCCTCCCGCCGAGCCATAGCAACAGCGCGGCGCGCGCGGCGCCTCAGGAGGCGCGCGGGGCGGGGGGGATGAGGCTGAGGGAGCGGCGGGAGCCCTGAGGGGCGGGGGATGCACAGGGCACCGCCATGGCCACGCCTTGTGAAAACCCCTTCTCCAGACGCTGTCACCGGCGTTTGTGCGGCCCGCGGTGGAACGGAGACGGGACACGGTCAGGAGCCAGCCGGCGACGCGGCTCCGTGCAGAGGGCAGCAGCCCCATAGCAAAATTCCCACTGGGTCTTGCTGGGCTGCTGTCTGAGATCCCAAAAAAGGTACTTTGGTTTTCATCCCTGCTGATATGACGTGTCAATACAATGACTGTGATTTAGGCAGCCAGTGGTACATGATACATGTGTATGAAAGCCAGGGAGCTTACACTTCCTTGCTGTTGAAGATGTATTGGAGTAAAGAGGAATGAAGCCTCTTACAATGAGATATATTTTCAGTTCTTTTCAAATACTTAGTTCTGTTTCCTGTCAAGAGAGATAAGATTAGATTAACATTGCCTGTACAGAAATTTTAGATAGCTGTCATTCTATATAGATTCTTTTCTAATAAAGCAACCCGTGCTAGGGAATGCAGGTATTTTGGCTTGGCATATAAGCGACCTTTGTTCTACCACTTTAACACTACCAGTCTCCTAAGACCTTGTAAGTTTTTTAAATAGTTCAAAAACAGTTGTTTTGAGTTTTTAGTTAAAAAGAAGGGGCTCAATTCAGCAAAATTTCTCAAGAGTGCTAGAACAATGAGTCTCTTTCCAAACTTAGATCTGAAAAATGATTTTCAGCTAAAGCAGAATTAAAGCTTTTTCTCTTATACTTAATGAATTTCATTTCTGAATTTGGTACAGTTGTTCTCTGGAGGACAATTGAACTTTCTAGGTCATTTCCCAGGTGAAATAACTTATTACTTTTCTGTAAATTTATGCTAGACAATTCAAAGTTTGATATGTAAAATCAAGCAAATTAAAAGTATTTCCCTTAAAGAGATGTAAAGTTAAGTGGTTGAAGTACAGCATATTTTGGCCCACTAGTGCCCCATGTCACCTGGATATTGAACCTGCACAAAGCACTTTTGAGGAGCTAATTGCGTTTGGACAGGAATTTGCAAGTGGTTCCTACAGGTGATCTCACAGGACTTGGCCATGCTGGGTTACAGGGGCTGAGCAGGATTTGGGGGTTGGCTGCTGCTGTCTGTGACCCAGAGCACACAGGGTGCCTGGCCATGCAGCAGAGGAAGAGCACAAGTGAACCTGCTGAATGCCAGGAGTGCTTGTGACCTTCCAGCCTGTGCTGCTGGCTGCAGTTAGTCTTTCAAGGACAGTGGAGTTCTTTCCATTGAGTTCACATTGGGGTAGCAATTTGTTCTATTGGTGTCTTACCTCGTTCTGGTTTCCTAGATGTGATTCATGTCCCCATTGTGTTCTGCTTTCCCTGTCCTACCATCTGTAACAAGCTCTGGATGTGTTTGTTGTTCTTCCTTGGAGCTGTACTGGGAAGCATGCTGAGCACGTGGCTGACCTGCCCTGAGCTGAATGTGCTGTACCTGCTGTTGTCATTCCTCCTCCTCCACATGGCATGGCCTAGCAAAGGAAGGAGCTTGCCCTAGATAGAACAAACCCAAAGTTATTTTTATCCTAAAATGCATAGAAGGGCCTAAAGTACAGTGCCTGTATGTGTTGATTGGTCACAGAAAGGGGATGGAAATCTAGGAGCACTTTCAGAAGTTCTGTCACTTGGCTCTCCCTGAGGTGAAGAGGGACACTTTCCCAACAGGCAGCATCCATGTTTTCCAGCCCTGCTGAAAAGGTGGCTTTTCAGTTCAGCAGGCAGCCCTGAGCCTGGCAAGGTCAGAGGCTGAGGGTGGTTCTGCCCTGGAAGTGTGCTGTGGAAATGGCTGTGTGGAGGTCCTGGACAGCAGCTGCCATGAAAACTTCCCTGAACTAATCCATGTCATTGCCACAGGGGATCGAGGATGTGAGCAGCAGCTTTTCCTGCTTGCAGTCCCTTTGGCAGTGGTGCTTGCTGCCACAGTCACTGGTCCATCCAACACCCACTCAGGACAAATGGTGGGAGACACAGCCTCAAGCTGTATTTTCAGGCAGTCTCTCATTCTGGATGCCTGGCTCACCTTTTTTGGGGCCTCGTTTTCAGAGGAAACAAGTGCTTTACTCAGGGACTCAAGTAGGGCACCCAGAATAAGAGGCCACTTTTGAAAATGTCGGCAAAGGCATCTTGTTTTATCTGCACTTCATTAGTCTTATCCCCAAAGTCTTTCATGTTATGTTCTGCAGTGAAAGGTCATTGTTTTAGATCAATCATTTTCAGTGGGATTTAATCCAGTTCTAAGTCAAACTAATCCACTTTGGTAAAGGTTGAACG